TAGGGACTTGGTGACCTATAAAAACGGTGAAGTTTATTTATATGTAGGTACAGTAAATATTTAGTTGGGTAATTTGCTTCGCCATATTTTCTGCAATTATAGGTACTTGTCTACGATAACATTGTTAAAAATATATTTGCGGATAACTGCTCGATTAAACAATATGTATTTCGAAAATTTGCTTATTTAAGTTTTTAGACCATGATATATTTAAGGGTATACATATAATGTTCCCTAGGATCGTAAAAGAAGGCCGCTTCGATCAGGTGAGGTGATCATACCTGGCGAGTATCTGCCCAACATTGAAACTTTGGGATCTTCTTTCCGTGTTTTATATATATTTTTTTATGTGCGCTACCACAATATAACTTTTATGGCAACTAAGTTTCATTAAAACCCCTTTAGGGTTTCCTTGTTTTTTGAAAGGCGTAGTACAACCATTATTAGTTCTATCGAAGTCTAGAATACTAACAAGGCTTCAGTCTCGTCTCCTAGTGACCACGTTTTCTTCTTTTCCCTTTCCACGATCGTGCCGGATTACCGTCCTAATAGATTAGTAAGGATATAACAAAATATTTACAGTTTTTGCATTAAAACCTACATACAGCCAGGGTTGCGGGGCAAGCTCAATGAGGCACCGTAGCCTCGACCTAGAGCAGGAGAAGGGGCGGCTTTAGTCAGTAAGAGTCTGGCACCCCCTCTTGGCATAGGCTAGATAAGTCATTTGATGACCTACTTACTACTTCCAATACGATTCTCATGGAGGATAGACCACATATTATGGTTATATCGTCATTGGAATAAGTGGGAAACACATCACATTATACCTACCTAATTTGCAGTTTCGCATAGCCATTTTGGTGTTAAATTGGGTATACATAAACTGTAGCTTGTATAACAATTTTTATGTTTTCTGTTTGACGACTGTATGTTAAGCCAGCTTGTATTGGTCAACTAGCGACCCAACCTGGCTTAGCACGGGTGCAACACTTATAAAAAAATTCTCCCCTAATCAATGGATGTTATAACCTTTCGCTATCTATTTAATAAAACCATATCAACATCCGTTGCGTAGTTTTAAAGATTTAAGCATACATAGGCATAAAGGGACAGAGATAAAGCCTTTTTTATACTATGTACTGATTAGTCGACAGTTATGGACTGTTCATAGCTTTCAAATAATTCACCTATTCTGGAGACTGCAAGTAATAAAACTTACCCAACTGCTCCTCTTATTATTTTACCGTATTTTAAACTATGTTATATCTACGACCTTACATGTTATGTTGAGTCGCTTCACGAAACGATTTTAAAACTCGCTTGCTTATCCACAAGACTAACAATACGTGACCGTTTACTAATTCCTCATTGTAATGAAACCCTAAACTGTAATCGGAATTAACAATGTTCCGTGAAACTAAAACGATACACGTGTAGGTTAGAATTTTTGAAAGAACTTGCAGTTATTGAAGAAATCTGGACTTGTAATTTATAATGATAAGTTTGAAATCGCCAATCCGTCTTAAGCCTGCATCGTGCGTGATTAATGCTCAAACCTTTTCTGTGTGAGAAGAGGTAACTAACAGACAGGTCCTAGAGGGCCGATGTTCAGCCGCGGTAGGCGTAGGTATCGCGATGAGGTTCCGCGGCCTCGGCCTAGAGCAGGAGATGGAAAGGGGGTTTTTAGTCAGTAACAGTCTGACACATCTCGCTTCACCCTGAGCGAGAGAAGTCATTTGATGATTTCCTCTTACAAAAAGAAATATAAAGTTTACTTAAATTGATTTGAACAAAACGAAAACACGAAATCAGTTACTATTTGCACATGTTATCAAAACAAACATAGTGTATCAATTTTACAGAGTAAACACTCGTGTTAAAATGACAGCCGTTTCTATAATGCGCGTACGCAGTTGCCATGCAAGCAGATACATCGTTGAAACGTCGTGTTAGTCGGTTCATCATTAAAATTAATATCAACAGTAAATCGTATGATCTTGTCAAGTAAATTATTAATGTTTATTTAAAGAGCAGGATAGAGTGGTCTGTTTGTCTTAAATGATGAAATTAAATTAACAACATTAAGTGTGGGAGAGCCATGGCTTCGGCACGAATGGGTCAGCTCGACCGGAGTGATACCACGGCTCACAGAAAACCGCCGTGAAACAACCACAGCGTTGTGTTTCGCCTTGTGACTGAGGTTACCGGTGGCCCAATCCTTCCCCACTCCCAATCCCTCCTCGTAACTTCTCCGTCGCGGGTGTCCATGGGCGGCGCTGATTACTTACCATCAGGTAATCCGTCTACTCGTTTGCCGATCTATTACATAAAAAAAACAATTCCTAAACATTTGAATAAACGTAGTACAGGGCGCCCTCCAGCTAGCTAGACTGACTATATCCGCAAGGTGGCTGGCAGTGGTTGGATAAGAAGAGTTGAACATTGAGTTCAGTGACGTGCAAATGGGGAGGCTTATGTCCAGCAGTGGACAGAATCAGGCCGATGATGATGATTATAACCATTTTGGCCTGAATATCGTGATTGAACGAACTTTTATGTTAAATATATTTTAGCGTTTTGCATGGAATAATGTGATAAATTATTTTGTAATCAATAGATTTACAGATTTTAACATTGCTTGTTCAAAACCAGAACGTTAAAAATCTGATTTATTTTAAATTCCCATCCATTTTTACAGGAACCATTTAAAAAACGCAAATCAAATTACATCACTATACCTACCTAATATAGCTACTAAGTACTACTTCAAATTTTCCCTTGATGTTCTGTAAATTGTGTATCTAGTTATCTACGATATAACTTCGCCTTAAATGCGCGCGCGCCGGTAGAGTGCACACATGCACACACGCGTACTGTTGCCATGCTGAAACTAGAACGCATAGTTATCAGACGCTGCATTAATCTCGTGACTTATATGCAGTAGTTAACAGGCATTGTAAATAGCTTGATGTAAATGTAACTAGCGTTTATCTGCGAATTTATCGTGTGTATTATGCTATTTTATTGTGACATTACTTAAATATAATCTTTTTACTTTGTATTTTACTTAGGTACCTGTGATGTGATTGCTGTAAAATTTTTGAGTTTGTTTTCAATTTAATAAGTAAATACGTTTTTTTATTATTATTGTAATCTCAGTTGATGTATTATTGTGTTTTCGTTTAACTTTAATATCTTGTTAGTTTAACAAGATATTAAAGTTAAAATATTTACACACTTCATGGTACCTACCTGACTAAACACCACATCTTATTTTAACTACGCATTTGTACAAATCCATTTACTTAGACTTTTACAATAAAAACTTTATATTCTTTTGTCCCGCTTGTGTCGTCAAAATTGATCCAATGTGCTTTCCTTAATTCTAATTATAATCAAAATCGGCTGCCCTCCTCAATATGTCCTTTGATTTTTTCTTTTTGCGGTTGTAGTGTTTAGGGCAAAACCTACTTTGAAACCTTGTTTTAGTAACAATAAGAAGCAAATTCTTTTACGATAATTATTTTGCAGCAAGTACCTACGACACGATATGGTCCAAATTATATCTCTCTTTCTACAAAAACGCTCCTAACGCCTTTATACAGAATCGGGTTAAACTAACACGTTGGTATTATCGCAGAGCTGGACCCTCGCCAAGTGGAAGGAATCTGTTAAAGAGATTAAATAGATTTAGATATCACCATGCCTTTTGTTTCAAAAAGGAACATGCTAAAATTAAAGCGGTGAAATAGAGAATAGTAATGCCATAAAACCAAATTAAACCTATAAAGAGTAGCATGGCCCATTCGCGCACAAAACAATGTGTGATCCACAAATTTTCCGGGTCTGAGTGCGATATGTATTATGTATCTGTAAGCGAACTTACACACGACACTAGGAGTTAGGAGTTAAGAGTGCGTTGCCGACCTTTTGGGGACCAGAGATTTGGTGATTTAGGAGTTGAGGAGGGATAAGGTTGCTCTAAACTTGGCTCTCCCACATCTAAATAAAAAAATAATTGTAAAAAATATCGGAATTCCTCACTAACTAAACTTTTATTGACGCTTTTGGCAAACACCAGACTTAAAGTTAATATTATTAGAGAGTTTGAGTTTTTGTGAAAGTCTGAATGATTAGTTCCTATTTGTCTTTGTTTGTATTAAGTTCATCTTTTTTATATTTCGTTTTTTCTTTTCCTTTATTATATCTGTGTTAATGTAACTGGATCAAATCCGTGTTAACATAAATAAATAAATTCCGAAAATGTAAGCAATAAATTGGCCAACTCAACTCCTAAATTGCTGGTAAAACAAAATCAGTTTAGCATTACAAGAATGGATTCAGAAGGTCAAGTTCATAGTTGTTTTTCTTCAGATTGTACATATACGTAGAATGTGTCGGAATAAGCGCAACTGACTCATGATTTATTGTGACAGCCGTCTAAATTGGGGTTGGAATTGGAGATGTTCTTGTCAACAAATCATTCAACTATTTTATTGGGACCCCTAGACCGACTATACGACCTATTTGGTTAATATGATGCCAACTAAAACTAAAAAACAAACTACCTTTTCCATTTCATACGTAAACGCAAACAAGCAGACGGATTATCCTATGGTAAGCAATCGGCTCCGCCCAAGGACATCTGCAACACCAGAAGACTTGCAAATACGTTGCCGGCATTATGAGGATAAGGGGTTTTGGGGATTCAAGGATTGGGGGAGGAGAACGATTGGGCCTTTGGCTACCACACTGCCAGCGCGAAACACAACGCTGTGGTTGTTTTTGTATGTAAACACTAGGATTGGTTTAGTTGCTGACTCCCCGGACTCTCTCTATCTAGGCCTAGTAACTGTACTAGTACTAGTAACTCCTGTTATCCTGAATCTATTGTAGAAACTAGCCAAAGAAAGTGTCAAAACCTAAACAAAGCATCAAATGATATGTCTTCGATCATGAATAAAGTCCATCATCATCCAACATCTTTTTTCTTGTTTCAGATTCTGCCCTACATAGACGGCTTCAACCACGTGTCGAAGATCGCAGCCCTGACGGACGTGGAGATCAGCTTGGTGCGAGCCTGTGTGCAGAACCTCGTCTACTATGGAGTGGTCACCCTGGTACCTATCTTCCAGTACTGTGCTGTGAGTAACTCTACTTATATTATGAAGAAGTATGTGGTTTTTGCCTATTGTTATGTTATTAATCTAAAAGCGAAAACCTGCACTCGTATTATCAAAATTTTCTATTACTTAAAGTTTATTTTCAAGTCCTAGTAAAAACCTTAAAAGTAGAAAATACGTAAAGAAAGTTAGGGTTCAAGTTTTGGGGTTCTTCATTTAGTCATTTGACAATTTCACCCCTACAAGGGGGTCCTTCAAATGACTTCGCTTGCCCAGGGTGAGACAAGAGAGAGTGTCACACTGTTATGCCCGTTTTCACCAACAGCCCCTAAACAGTCACCTTAGTAAGGGCCACTTAACTTAGGGGACCGTTCAAATCATCCCTTAACTTAAATTTTGTTTCACGGTCCTAATGCCCGTTTTCACCAACAGCCCCTAAAATTTAAGTGTCTCTTAAGCCAATATAAGGGACACTTATCGCAAGTTTTGTTTTCACCAACGTTTAAGTGTCACCTATATCATTAGGGGTTCCTTATAATTTAGGGGATGAATTGACGACCCCGTAACGTTTAAGTGACACATAGTGTCAGGTTATTTTGCGAATCACCAAACAGTATTTTATCCTACTGAATAAGATACAAAATAAAAAAAATGGATAATAACCACTATTTATTTGAAGATTTTAAGCAATTGAAGATATGGAATTGTTAAGTAACCGACATTTGTATAGACGACCTCGTATTTATCGTGAAAGATCGAAAGATTTTGAAATATATGATGAAAAAGACTTTTTCATAAGATACAGGTTCCCTGCTCAACCTTACTTGTATTTAAAGAAAGAAACCTGTGGCACCGATTAACCAATTACTGTGTGGCCTTAGATTTTATGCAACAGGCAATCAATTATTATCTGTAGCAGACCTCAATCCCATCAGTGTATCTACTTGCAGTAGAATTATAAAAAGAGTGTCTGACGCTATCGTGGGTCGTGGCAAAGCGAATTCATACAATTTCCAGACACCGAAGAAAACCAACAAATAATAAAAGAAGATTTTTACAGAATAGCTCGATTTCCAAATGTTTTAGGATGTATAGACTGTACACACATAAAAATTCAATTTCAAGGTTGGGCGTTTAGAGAAACACAGGTCCTTACGAGTAACCATTTATTACTGAATCTCCTATGAAATAATACATGATTTAATAAGATGGATAGACACGCACACATACAGATACGGCAGATCTTTGTGTCATATTTATTGAGCCTCCAGCGAATACCGTCGTTCGCACACCTATCGTCTTTCTATGATGTCTCTATTAATGATATTCAAAAGTCTTTTAATTGTATTAACTAGAAACCTTCTTTACATTTATTCATGTGATAAATTATAGGAGGAGATGATGCCGAACTATTCTGGAATAGAAAAAGCAGTATGTCTATTAATATGCAAACAATAAGTACTGCAAAATTATTAATAACTGATGTGGTGACTCGCTAGCCAGGATAAACAACATTCTTTATCTTCAAGTGAAAAATTTTGACCACGTTTCCTCTTTTCTGCCATTGTAATTAATAAAAATTTGGTATTTTTTGAAAATACACGAAATGATTGAAATGAAACTGTCACTGGATAGTGGCATCAAAATGTCACCGGCACCGCGTCTTTGTAAGCTATGGCATTCAACATACAGCCAAAAAATATAAACACAACTTTTTGTTACTAATCTAACATTCACCAGTTCAAGACTCTTCTTTTCGAAATAAATTGAAGTTAGAAAAGTTAATTACTTGTTTTAAGGTTGTATATTTACGAAAATAACAATAGAATTGTCTAATCGATTCATTTATCGATAACTGTTTGCATAGTTCCTCAACACTAAACGTCACCTAATTAGGGGGCTCTTAGTTAGGTGACACTTATGCCCGTTTTCACCAACAGCCCCTAAACAGTCACCTTAGTAAGGGCCACTTAAATTAGGGGACCGTTCAAATCATCCCTTAACTTAAATTTTGTTTCACTGTCCTAAGTGTCACCTAACTAAGAGCCCCCTAATTAGGTGACGTTTAGTGTTGAGGAACTATGCAAACAGTTATCGATAAATGAATCGATTAGACAATTCTATTGTTATTTTCGTAAATATACAACCTTAAAACAAGTAATTAACTTTTCTAACTTCAATTTATTTCGAAAAGAAGAGTCTTGAACTGGTGAATGTTAGATTAGTAACAAAAAGTTGTGTTTTTATTTTTTGGCTGTATGTTGAATGCCATAGCTTACAAAGACGCGGTGCCGGTGACATTTTGATGCCACTATCCAGTGACAGTTTCATTTCAATCATTTCGTGTATTTTCAAAAAATACCAAATTTTTATTAATTACAATGGCAGAAAAGAGGAAACGTGGTCAAAATTTTTCACTTGAAGATAAAGAATGTTGTTTATCCTGGCTAGCGAGTCACCACATCAGTTATTAATAATTTTGCAGTACTTATTGTTTGCATATTAATAGACATACTGCTTTTTCTATTCCAGAATAGTTCGGCATCATCTCCTCCTATAATTTATCACATGAATAAATGTAAAGAAGGTTTCTAGTTAATACAATTAAAAGACTTTTGAATATCATTATTAGAGACATCATAGAAAGACGATAGGTGTGCGAACGACGGTATTCGCTGGAGGCTCAATAAATATGACACAAAGATCTGCCGTATCTGTATGTGTGCGTGTCTATCCATCTTATTAAATCATGTATTATTTCATAGGAGATTCAGTAATAAATGGTTACTCGTAAGGACCTGTGTTTCTCTAAACGCCCAACCTTATAATTGAATTTTTATGTGTGTACAGTCTATACATCCTAAAACATTTGGAAATCAAGCTATTCTGTAAAATTCTTCTTTTACTATTTGTTGTTTTTCTTCGGTGTCTGGAAATTGTATGAATTCGCTTTGCCACGAACCACGATAGCGTCAGACACTCTTTTTATAATTCTACTGCAAGTAGATACACTGATGGGATTTAGATCTGCTACAGATAATAATTGATTGCCTGTTGCATAAAATCTAAGGGCACACAGTAATTGGTTAATCGGTGCCACAGGTTTATTTCTTTAAATACAAGTAAGGTTGAGCAGGGAACCTGTATCTTATGAAAAAGTCTTTTTCATCATATTTTTCAAAATCTTTCGATCTTTCACGATAAATACGAGGTCGTCTATACAAATGTCGGTTACTTAACAATTCCATATCTTCAATTGCTTAAAATCTTCAAATAAATAGTGGTTATTATCTTATTATCCATTTTTATTATTTTTTATCTTATTCAGTAGGATACAATACTGTTTGGTGATTCGCAAAAAACCTAACACTATGTGTCACTTAAACGTTACGGGGTCGTCAATTCATCCCCTAAATTATAAGGAACCCCTAATGATATAGGTGACACTTAAACGTTGGTGAAAACAAAACTCGCGATAAGTGTCCCTTATATTGGCTTAAGAGACACTTAAATTTTAGGGGCTGTTGGTGAAAACGGGCATTAGGACAGTGAAACAAAATTTAAGTTACGGGATGATTTGAACGGTCCCCTAAGTTAAGTGGCCCTTACTAAGGTGACTGTTTAGGGGCTGTTGGTGAAAACGGGCATAAGTGTCACCTAATTAAGAGCCCCCTAATTAGGTTACGTTTAGTGTTGAGGAACTATGCAAACAGTTATCGATAAATGAATCGATTAGACAATTCTATTGTTATTTTCGTAAATATACAACCTTAAAACAAGTAATTAACTTTTCTAACTTCAATTTATTTCGAAAAGAAGAGTCTTGAACTGGTGAATGTTAGATTAGTAACAAAAAGTTGTGTTTTTATTTTTTGGCTGTATGTTGAATGCCATAGCTTACAAAGACGCGGTGCCGGTGACATTTTGATGCCACTATCCAGTGACAGTTTCATTTCAATCATTTCGTGTATTTTCAAAAAATACCAAATTTTTATTAATTACAATGGCAGAAAAGAGGAAACGTGGTCAAAATTTTTCACTTGAAGATAAAGAATGTTGTTTATCCTGGCTAGCGAGTCACCACATCAGTTATTAATAATTTTGCAGTACTTATTGTTTGCATATTAATAGACATACTGCTTTTTCTATTCCAGAATAGTTCGGCATCATCTCCTCCTATAATTTATCACATGAATAAATGTAAAGAAGGTTTCTAGTTAATCCAATTAAAAGACTTTTGAATATCATTATAAGAGGCATCATAGTAAGACGATAGGTGTGCGAACGACGGTGTTCGCTGGAGGCTCAATAAATATGACACAAAGATCTGCCGTATCTGTATGTGTGCGTGTCTATCCATCTTATTAAATCATGTATTATTTCATAGGAGATTCAGTAATAAATGGTTACTCGTAAGGACCTGTGTTTCACTAAACGCCCAACCTTATAATTGAATTTTTATGTGTGTACAGTCTATACATCCTAAAACATTTGGAAATCGAGCTTTTCTGTAAAATTCTTCTTTTACTATTTGTTGTTTTTCTTCGGTGTCTGGAAATTGTATGAATTCGCTTTGCCACGACCCACGATAGCGTCAGACACTCTTTTTATAATTCTACTGCAAGTAGATACACTGATGGGATTGAGATCTGCTACAGATAATAATTGATTGCCTGTTGCATAAAATCTAAGGGCACACAGTAATTAGTTAATCGGTGCCACAGGTTTATCTCTTTAAATACAAGTAAGGTTGAGCAGGGAACCTGTATCTTATGAAAAAGTCTTTTTCATCATATATTTCAAAATCTTTCGATCTTTCACGATAAATACGAGGTCGTCTATACAAATGTCGGTTACTTAACAATTCCATATCTTCAATTGCTTAAAATCTTCAAATAAATAGTGGTTATTATCCATTTTTATTATTTTTTATCTTATTCAGTAGGATAAAATACTGTTTGGTGATTCGCAAAATAACCTAACACTATGTGTCACTTAAACGTTACGGGGTCGTCAATTCATCCCCTAAATTATAAGGGACCCCTAATGATATAGGTGACACTTAAACGTTGGTGAAAACAAAACTCGCGATAAGTATCCCTTATATTGGCTTAAGAGACACTTAAATTTTAGGGGCTGTTGGTGAAAACGGGCATTAGTCACTCAAAACTACCGCGTCCCTTCTTCTTCTCCTGCTTCAGGCCGAGGACGCAGTACCTTATTACGCTTGCCCTGCAACCCTGGCTAAACATCGGCCCTGTAGGCCTATCTACTTTTAGAAGCGCGCTTCAAACGCAACACGCCTTACGACGTGCAGTAACACTTCTGCACTTAGACTTGCTTATAAAGCCGGGGTTGCGGGGTAAGTGCAATGAGGCACCGCGACCTCGGCCCAGAGCAGGAGAAGGAACAGGGGGATTTTTAGTCAGTAAGAGTCTGATACTCCCTCCTGCCCGGCACTGGGCGGGAGAAGTCATTTGACGATTTTCCCCTAACAAAAAAAAAAGACTTGCTTATAAAAAAATCCTTAAATTGTAGATTTTATAGGTATATGTATATCTTCTTAGATTACATTCAATATGTATAGGTGTAGATATTTTTGACTGATTTTCATCTTAATTTTTGTAATGTTTCAGGTGTACAGTGCGACCCCTAAGTTAAGGCAGCTCACTCGGTGCGCGGGATTGCAAAGACAGTGTGTAGAGTTCTGCGCACGAACACGTAAGTTTCTACATTATTTTAAGGAACCTTCCCATGAAAATTCTTTTACTTGTTATTTAAAAAATGTCTAAAATAATGTGAGTAATAGTCCTATATTTGTGTGGAAACCCCCACAGGCTTCTCTGCTATCAATCCAGTCGAGCCGGCCCATTCCTATCGAATCATAGCTTTCCCACACTTAAATTACATTCACATAAATGTATCAGGTACCTCTCAATTCAAATGTACTAGAAATTAATACTTTTCATATCTTAAACAAAAAACTATTCCAATATTTTGACTATACAGTTGTCGCGGTGGCTGGGCAAATAAACCGGCCGCCACGCAACGTGTCGCGCATGCGATTCCCACACGGAACAACTCTTTGTGTAATCCACAAATTTGTTTTTCCGGATCTGTATGCTCGAAAAAGCACCTACGACACAAGAGAAACTCCTAGTGTGGGGCAATATTTTTCTAAGTATAAACCGATTTTTCCTATCTTCAACAAAAAAGCTTTCTGATATTAACTCTAAATCTTCCACATTCCAGCCCGTCAGCTACCGAAAGTGAGCGATATATTCCGTATGTACGCGGGCATGTCCTACGGCAGCACCATCAGAGACCTCTGTCGGAGGATGAAGCCTCAAGAGCTGGCCATCAATGAGAGAAAACTCGTGCTCTTCGGAGTTCTAGAAGGACTGATTAGGAGGGTGTATAAGGTATGGAGAATTTGGCTTCTGACTGTCGCTATCAAAACCATGAGGTCTCGCTTTGACAGATCTTTTTTTATTTAAAATAACGAAAAACGGAAAACGAGCAGACGGATTACCTGATGGTTAGCAATCAGCGCAGGAGTTGTTGTCGAGTGCGTTTCAGGTCTTTAAGGGATAAAGGTTTAGAATATTTAAGGATTGGGAAGGGATGGGGGAGGGGGAGGGATTGGGCCACCGGTAGCCGCACTCACGCGGCGAAACACAACGCTGTGGTTGTTTCACGCCGGTTTTCTGTGAGGCCGTGATATCACTCCGGTCGAACTCACCCATTCGCGCCGAAGCTTGGCTCTCCCACACTTACAACTTACCCACGTATACTCTCTTCTATCTATTCTAATCAAACTCTTTAGTATATAAACATTTACAAGTTTTACCAAAAATATCTAACATTCTTTTTTCAAATTTCAGTTCCCGATAACTCTACACAACGACGATTCGGCATCAATAATAAGTGACCATAGTCAACCACTCGTGCGCACGTACAACGGACTCGTGTGTCTCGACGAATTATGCTGTCAAAGTGGCCTCTCAGCTCTACAAATAGAAGAACAGCTAGAGCGAGATAGCAACGTCATCTTCATCGTCAAATGAAAGAGACGGCAAGTGTTTTGTCAGTTACTACCATAATTTGGTGTTCCATGAGCATAATGGTCTGAAGCCTTTTGAAGATTTTACTAGGAATTTCTCATCTGTGAGAGGTATACAGCTATTCCTAGTGTCTAGGAGAAAATATCCGCACTTGTCACAAGTAATTTTCAACCTTAAACACCATTGAGAAGGTTTTAAATACTTTTGAATACGTTGTGTCAAGCTCGACGAGTGGACACTATAACAAGTACCAGGTCCAATTTAAAGACTTCTAAAAAACTTACTGCGTAAATTTTATATAGAATTGCGCAACATTTTACAGACCTGCGCCTGCGCATAATCTCGTGTTCAAACCGATAGATTACATATAACTTCTTTTTAGGTACTACCAACAATATAATTGGATAGTATCTCGATACGTATTTTATTAAAATGGACGAAGCCGTGGGCGAAACCTTAGTATATGTAGGTATTTGTTGTTTTATTCTGTTTAAGATTTTATTATTGCAAAAAAGATTGTTTAATTCTTGTTAGAAAACTTGTAAAAATATGTATAAGAACTGGGGACTTCTAATTTCGTGTTGATATACTATACTGAACTCTATTGATATTGTATTTAATGTGTATATTTGCAAATCAAAGTCAATTTTTTGAAATGACGTCAACGACCTGAAACCTAAAACCTTTAAAATTCCTGAAGACTCCCACTACTTGACAGTTTTAATGTAAAAAAATATTAGAAAAAGGACTTGAACTTATTACCTCTGCTTACGCCACATATTTAAAGGCATCATGTTTAGTTTTAAGGTCATAAGCCTTAATTTTATGCAAAGCTAATAATTTATAACGACCATAAATGTAACATTTTCTGTAGTCAAACACATTGCAAACGAAAATGAACTTTATTGTTCTAAAATATGTAAGCGATAATCAACTTTAAGAACTATAAAAAACGACCTATTTTATCTTGTCACCATTATAAATATTTTGTAAATATGTAAATTACCTAAATTAACGATTTTATTCTATGTATGTATGAAATATTTAAATACTTAATATATTTCTGTAAATCTATGCAATTTTATACCCTATGCGTAAGGTTTGTAAGACGATTTTTAATAACCTAATTTGTAAAAATATTATCTACCTTACCTATTTAGAAAGCTAGTTATTCTATTCTTAGCCTACAAGCAAACGGTTTTACTATAGATTTTAATACTATTTTGTACTTAGGCCAAAATTGATAATATATTATTATGATAGGAGTGTCTTTGTCAATCTATACTCTAAGGCTGGTTTTACAGTCACGCGTTTCGGCAGCGCCGTCGGAGCGCGCGCGCTCGGATATGTATTGGGGTATTAGTAGCGTTTCAAATTCGCGCGCTTGAGCAGCGCCGTTCGTTGAACGCGTCCTATTCGCGCGGCGCGGTCGAAGCGCGCGCCGCTCGTGCGCTTCTACGGCCATTGTGCGTTTTAGTCTCACGCCGTTGAGACGTGCCGTTAGGTACTGTTGTGTACAAAATGAATCACATCGATACGGGTCGGGTAATTGACGAAGTGCGAATTAGAAGATGTTTATGGGACCCGGCCGATGATTTTTATAAGAATAAGGACGCAAAAAATAAAGCCTGGGAAGAAATTGGAAAGGAATTGTGTGGTGAAAAATCGCCAACTTTTCCACTGGAGCTATGGGGATGCGACGTATGCTGGATCTTCGTAAAGAAAACTCTAACTTGCACAGTAATTCGTCGAAACTGCTGGTTGATAGGCGAAAATATTTATAAAATTTATAACTATTTTCTCGTAAATCAGAGAAAGATGTTACGTGTTCGCCTCTCAGTAACCTTGTAGCGTTATAAGGATCAACACCTACTGTTCTTCGACGTTTTTGTTGCCTTTTTTTCCATAAAAGTAAATAGCCAGTACTCTAACCGCATTGCCGTTCATTTTGTATCTGTTTGTACACGACTGTCAGCAGCGAAACGCGACGTACTAATGTCGTTTTATGGTGCACCGCTGTTCAAACGCGCGCTGTCCAACAGCGCGCTGTCCAACGGCGCGTCTAGCGGCGTGACTGTAAAACCAGCCTAAATTTTTCTCTCATAAAAACTAAAGATGTCTTATGAAATCAAAAATCGCCTCTACAACACTCTGATTTTTTTCTGTCTAATCCTTCTCACCATCGCCCACCAGGGGGCGCTTTCGCCCACTTTGAGAAAGACTAGTCTTAGGCAACAAAAGCAGTAATCGAAGTAGGTACAGAATATGGTATTCTGTGTGACCAGTTGTAATCATTACTTACACATTGGTGGCACGCTTGACGAAGTAGCTGGGCAACCGGCTACAGTGCAAACTGGTTTGTTATTAAAACAAGAGATAAAAATAAGAATGTATAATGATGTTCCGGGACTATGATGAAATTTATGTTTGGTGAAAAATGCCTAAAATTTTCATATACATACTTATTTTTTTCCCTCAAGTTTCATCAATCTTGACCTAAGTATAGATATTTATACCGTCGCTCCCAAGAGCGTCTAATTAAGTTTATATAATGTTCATAAGAAACTGCTCAATATTCTTAGTTATAGACATATTTTTATATACCTACGTTTCTTTTTTAAATTTTATCAATTGTACATAAAGCCCGTTAATCCGTAAAGGTGCTAAATATATTATTGTAACATTTTAAATGGTATGCAATTGTAATTCTGTTGTAAAAGTTTTTAAAAACCAAAGAGAAAATTGTATGTCTGTGTTGCAATGTGAAAATAGTAGTTTATTTAGGTATTTTTTAACTGTCTTTTAATTTAATTTTATTATTATATTTCGTTTGTTACTGTTTCTTAAAGAAATTTATAAGTACATTTATAAAGTGCAATTTTTTTTATGATTTATGTAAAACATTTGTGAAAAAATATATCATTAATTTTTTTAAAGTAAAATGTCCAAGATGGTTATTAAAGTGCTCAATAAAAAAATGTCACGAAACTCGGATTACTTAGGTTCTTCAATGACGACAAGTTACAATGAAGGTATAACCTTCAAGGAAGGCTATCGTTTTTTTTTTTGATATTGGCTAGATGGCGTTAGTACAGCATTAGGTCTCATTAAACAAATTTGGGTACTTATCTGCTAAAAATTCAATTCAACATCATCGATTGCCTTATTTAAATGTCAAAACCCCACCGACAGTGTTTTTATAAACACGAAATGACACCAAGGAAATGAGCACTAAAAATATAAGAATATTTCAATACCAATGTAATTAGACTTTGCTTTGGCTAAACTGGTTACATTTAAAATCATCTATGGAATAAGTTAAACGCCTTTATCTGTTTAACCTCTTCTCTGCCGGTATATGAGACACAATAGAAAACACATTGGGTCTCGAGTATATCTGCGCTCTGTATATCATATCACGGGTTAAAGGACTACAGCACAGAGTTTCTTTTTAAACATTTCGGTCCAGCCAACCGCGAGGTAATCGCGGCCATAGTATAAGCAGGTGAAACTGAGCTTTTTTAGAAGTCAGACAAAAAAGCACTTTGTATATGACTACCTTTAAAGTTGCAAATATTATGTCCCATTGATATAAGAGTAAATTGGTAACACAATTTAGCCAAAACAAATACTAGATTCTACCAATGTCTAAACTAGACTTAAAAATACCTAGATATTTAGAGCTAGTGGCGTCTAGTCGTGTTTAGTGGTATCTGTATATTTGTTGATTGTTTGCTTTTTATTATAGACTAAAACCGGTTATAGTCACTTTAATCCGGTTATATAATTATGATCTATCGTCAGTTTAACCTTTTTTATTTTATGGCGTGTTCAGTACGTAAGAACTGTTGCCAGGTACAAAGTAAATTGAAAAAAGTGTACTGAATTGATTCCACTGACAAATGAGTTAATTAAAAGGGCGACTTCAAAACAGAGAGCTAAAATATCTTATAATTTTTTTTAAGAATCATTGGTTAAATAAAAATACTTAATATTTTTTAATCACTCGCTTGAACACGCCAAACCTAGTCAAGATTCTTTTGTGCCTTATTTCTTGTATATTTGAAATTAATTCGTAATCAATGCATAATATTAGTTTGTATTTTATTGTAATCGTTATTTTTAAGAGATTATCACCACGTGCTGTTGTATTCGTGTTTATTTTAAGAAATAATTAAATGATGCTAGTAGGCCTTTTCCCAGTTTGTCAAATTACTTCCATTTCTTTTGTGACAATGTCGAGAATTTATGGAAGAAGTTTTGACAGATTGGCTATGGTTGATATGTTGCCCTTAAATAATCTGTGACAACTTTGAAAAATCGCGGGAAATGTAATATTGACTTTTCACTTCCACTCGTAATCATTATTTTGTATTTAGCATTTTGGTTACATGTGTAAGTTTTAGTACATAAAAATGTTTATTTGTATGTTATGTTATATAAATGTAATGACTCATTAAAATTGATTATTTTTATAAATCTGTTTTTATTTTTGATTCGAATAGAACCAACGCCGACGGGTCTACGCCTCCACGCCTTTGAATAGGCCCTTATATTTTTTGTACCCCACATTTAAAGTTGTCAACGTTAATCATTTTTATGATTTTCAAAGGTGTTCTGGTCAAGTCTGTTCTTTAATCTAGTCAGTCTAAAAATCAAGTAAACCTACCATCATCATACTATTATATAAGTAGTACCTACGGGTCGGGCAGTTGTCAGAAAGATGAATGGGAAACACTAAACCGCTCACAATTCACAATGCGGCAGTATTCAACTAGTCAAATTCAATACTTTTCTTTTATCCAAATCCAAAAACCTGCGAGAAAGCGGCTCTTGGGTCTGCAGCATTAGAATTCAAGGCTTGATGGGTAGTAAACGCTACTAACATGAGTAATGAAAATAATAGAGACAATGCTTAAACTGCCTGTGATAAGTACAGGTACACTGCATCCATACTTATTATGCGAAATACACAATGCATAGACACAATGATAAGTTGTGCCGCTTATATTTAGTCTAGCCATAAATACTGTAAATATTAAAAAAAAATTGCATATAACATTTATTTCTTTTACAGTATGTAAGTTTAATACATAGATATAAAACATAACATACAGTCCTTTAAACGTTGAAGCCAGTTATCAATAGAAGCACGCACTCTTTCCATGGGAAAATTCTTCACTGCCAATCGTATGGATTGTTTTAGGGAGTCCAAATTATCATGACGTTTAGAGCAAGCCCTACTCTCTAAAACTGACCATAAATCATTATCCAGCGGATTAAGATCGGGACTAGACGACGGCCAGTCTTCAGCTCTGATGAAGTCGGAAACGTTCGTTTCCAACCAAGACTGCGTGGACCGAGCTTTATGACCCGGCGCCGAGTCTTGCTGGAAGGACCATTGTTGGTTATTGAACATGGTGTTGTTAAGGGGCTTAACTACCTTCTCAAGAATGGTATTTTGATACACTTGTGCCGATATTTTGATACCTTTTTCGCAAAAGTATGGCTCAGTCACTCCTTCATAGCTAACACCCCACCAAACCATCACTGAAGTCGGATAATGCCCACGTTGCACTCTGTCGACTAATTGAGAAGCTTCCTTAGAGCTTTCAGCATAAATACGGTCATTTAGTTTGTTAAAATGTTGCTCAATTGTAAAAAAAATCTCATCCGTAAAGAAATTTTTTCTGTAACCTCCCTTTGCGTGCCGCTTCAGTAGTTATTTAGATTTTATCACCCTATCCTTTTTTAAATTATCATTTAAAAATGTCCAGTGCGTCTCTTATAGGCTGCAAGTCCTAAGTCGTCTTTTAAAATACGCGACATGGTTCTAGGTGCTATCTTCATCTCCCGAGATAAAATCTTTTGCTTTCGGACAGGATTTCTTCAAATTCTTTCCCTTACTGCTTTGACCACCTTTTTCGTACGAACACTATGTGGACGGCCAGATGTTTTTCTGTCACAAAAAGAGGAGGTCTCATTGTACCTATTAATAGCCCGGTACACAAACATTTGACTAATGCCAAGCGTGTGGAGAGTTTTAAAAATTGCATTTGGCTCCACACCCACTTTGTGTAATGCAATCACAGCGATTCGGTTCTCTTTATCACCCCACTCCATTTTAATATCGCAAAATATTGAACAATTTATTGGCGCCAAAATAAGAAAACACAATGAAAAATTATATAAACATGACAGATTCCAAATGCAAATGTAATATTTTGTTTATTTTTAATTGTACAGTATTTATGGCCAGACTATGTATTTAACGGTTTAATAAAACACCAACATAATTGACCACATCCCTAATCAGAATTGAATTCAACGTCCTATGAACGAAATGAAGTCAAAGAATGACTTCACAACTTCAAGGATGTCGTTCCCAATAATAACCTGGCACCTGTGCAACATGGACATTTAACATGATTTTAGTTTTGTCCATGTTCATTTTTGTTTAGGTCCTCCAACATCTCTGCCGTAACGACATCGGCGAAGTTTTGTGCTCTCTCCTTGGAGATGCGAATAAGCTTGGTGGCCTTTCGATAGAACTTCAGCACGTCGATGATCAGATAGTCGATATCGCACCGCTGGAGAGACTGCAGCACCGCCCAGGTTTCGACAATATCGATTCAGTTATCGCCTGGTGCCTTTTGTGTTTAAGCTGTTTAAGAACCATCATAACTTCATACCTACAGGCTAATATTGTCTGGGTTATCCTTAGTGTAGTAGGTTCTCGGGTCTCGAGCTGTAGGTACCGACAATGGGTTACTGTGATGAGGTTGAGTTGTACAATAAAATTGTCTGTAGAATCTCTCAAGCTCTCTCATTATCTCCTATTTCGACAAATTGATCTATCCTATGTCGGTCTTTAGCCTCGTTATTTGACTTTGCCCAAAAAACGATTTTTTGTGGAAACTTTCGAGTCCTGGTTTCGCTCGATGGCGTCCTTGAATTGTGGAGTATCGCGTATAATGGACGCAGATTGCGTCGCATGGTTTTTTAAATTCCTCTATCGAGGTTACGATACTCAAGAATATAGGCTAGACTGTAGTATCACAAGCGGGCGAAGCCGCGGGCGGAAGCTAGTAATGTAATAAAACAAAACTTTTCAAATACAGTAGTGATTTATTCTTATATAACACATAAGTTACAAAATACATAAACAGTTATATAGGTAACAAAAAACGTGACTAGCGTTGCGGACACGAGCGAACGAGTCGATGTGAAGACATTGTGACACTGTGGCGTGTTGTTAGCGACCAGATGCATTACCTAACCAGTATTTGAGAGCATAGACGCAGCATTAATCTAGGAAGATCTTTTTTATGGTAAAGCCGGCAAACTAGCAGCAGGATCACCTGATCGGCAATTAGCACTGCCTGTGGATGGCAACACTAGAGTAAAACGCGTTATTGGCCATTTGGGGATAGGACAAAAATGATGATATGGAGGTGTATAATAATGGCGGAAAAGATTATACAATTTATTGGAAATCTCTTATTTATTTGAGCTTATTTTAACTGCAATAGAATGTGCAATAACTTCGGAAAAGTTCAAAAAAACCGCTTTTCGTTTTTATCATTAAAGTGTTGCCATGCGTTTCGGTCAACTGCACTTTGCATATTAATAGTTATGGCGACACTTTTATAACTTGCAACGGATTTAATGTTTGCAAGCCCTTATTAATGATTACTAGCTGCCAATAAATTCCTTTTTTACAAAACAGAATTTTATTTATTGTATTTAATGAAAACTGATTGAAAAAGAGTAGCCATGAAGTTTCTTGTTCGTTCTTCTCCATTGGAATCTACACTTTTTTACCGAAAAAAATATATTTTGTTTACTTTTAAACGCTTTGCTACGACTATGCTCATCAAATATTCTACTTAAACCGATCTTAAAAAACACGCAAGTAACTCCAACTTCTATTTACACTGGCTTAAGGCATTCGCAGATAGCCGGTATATATCTAAGTTTATAGTATATTGTAGATTTACTAATACATTCGTGCTGCCTTTAATATGCTTATACGCTATCTGCGAGCCTTACAACCAACATATATTTGATCAAAATAATCAAAACAAATAATTATAAACTGATAAATAGTATTTTTATTTGAATACTCAAACGTATTCAATGTATGTCTCGCTACATTAAAATTTATCAACACCACAGTCGGAACTAGATTTTCAAAACACTTGATATCGCTGATAATTCTTCAAACTAAATACAAAATACTCATAAAGGAGTACCGTCTCAACTTTGAGACGAACACAAAAGGTAAACAACTCGATTGAACGATTGATTGAAAATAAACTATAATTATAAAACATTAAAGTCGATAATGTAGTGTCAACACAGACCGGGCATAACTAAAATGCGACTCTCGACTTAAAATTATTTTTGTGAATATTTTAAAATTAAGGCTTTTGAGCACTAACCGACATTTACTCTTTATCCCCTTAACGACATAAAATATACAGCAAGGCACGAAAAGCAAGCCAGTGTGTCATCTTGGACACCTTCTCAAGTGCTGTCCAGTCCTTGTCGACATACATTAGGAACTTCAAAAGGTTTTGGCACTGCAAGTAGTGTAGAAAATTAGAACGCATCTTTATATTACAATATAATACTCGGTTAATGTTCATTATTGTAGAAAATAATCCTTATTTATTTATTTATGTATTGATTTCTATTGTATTTGACTGTGTGACGCAGTTCTCTCATTGGACAGACCCAATTTAAGTTAAATAAAAATGTCTTCAAAAACGTAACACAAAATCTTGTGAACGTGAATTAAGTAAATAAAAACAATTTGAACTTTAATCCGATTCAATAACTTCGATAATTAAATGCTAATATAGCCTTCATGTCGATGATAAACAACTCAAAATTGCTAAGCAACTGAATCGAAACAAAGTCCCAACAATACATTGGGTGCCTGTTTAAAAAGTCCATTTCACATAGTCAAATAGGTTTTATTACAAAATAATTTGATTTCCTATGTCTGATTTGAAAAAGAATTATATTTTTCACAATATTAAACTTATAAACTATTATCTAACTTATACTTGTTTTTATATTTTATATTTTACACACTTCAGGCACACTGAGTTCTGAATTATACCGAAAAAGGATAAACGACGCTGATTGGTCAAGAGATCGTTGATAGTCGAACACGTCCGAAGTATTACGAACGAATTTTAAAAGCGAAAGAATGAAACAAATGTTTAATTTCATTCTTTATTTCTATGATACTAAGGCATAATTCAGAACACACATACAATATCATAAATAATGTATACAGCTAGTTGTATCTATACATAGCGTTTTAAGGAATGGCCTAATTTTTGGGGAAGTGGGGGTACTTCATTGGCTGTAAAAACTACCTAAGAATTATGATTTAAATGTTATATTTTTATATTTCTGGAAGGCAATGAATTGATCCTTACTGCCACATGCTACATTAAGATCGATTTCACAAAATCATACGTACTGTAAATTTTAATTTTTTTTGAGCAACAAAATAGAACGGTTATTCAGTACGAACATGTATAAAACAATAAATATAAAAAAAGTATTGATTGTAAAACAAATTGTAAATGATTTTGATAATATGGATTTTGTAAATGTTCGATTTAATAAGATTTTGGTCAGTCAATTATTTAGTACTATTATGCTCATTTCTTCACAAAAATGTGTAAGTCAAGTCTTGTAACTACAATATATTATTATGGTACGTATTTCGTACTCAAAAAGATTAATATTTCATTGCTTTTCTTATGCTTCTAGGAACTAATGATTATGCATATAATATTAATTCATATGCATACGATATAGTGGTTATACCACCAGTAGGAAATAGATGAAACCTCATTTGACAATAGCCGCTTTAATTAAAGAAATTATAATCATAGATCACACCGCAAAACATTACTAATTTTAATCAATCACTAATTTTATAAATTGGTAACATTGAATTCAACATGGCGGCCTGTCAAATGACGTCACAACTGTCACATTAGAGTACTTTTCCTACCGCAGCCATTTAGTACTCCCAAAATAATAGGAATAATAATTTCTAGTGATTGAAATCATAAATATGTAAATCTAACACTATAACTACGTGTATCAAACAAATATTTAGGCTTATGACACAGCTAATACGGCTTTTCTACTAGGAATATTTTTGTTGAGTAATGTCTTATGTATATGCGGCTACGATGCAGGTCGATGCCCGATGTCATCAAACCAATAATGATACTATTTCACCTAAAGTCTTCACCGCTGCAGGATTGTATAAAAGCTCTTGAATGGGACCATGTTGTCTACTAGTCCACCTTTCGTTTCGCTGATGACGACATTTTGTTTATCAAATTCTTGGGAGCCCTACAACACATACTAAAGAGCTTAGTAACGCTTTCTTTAGAGGGCGGTTTAGGACAAAATATGTGATGGGATGTGCCTGCTCTGCTTCAGTTGTTAGGACTCAAGCAAGCGACTGGGATCAATAATTTATTACGTTCAAGACGAGTTCTGTCTTTCCAAAATAGAAAGTGATCTCTAGGACTTGGGCTGAAATAGGAACTAATAAATGCAGGTTACAGAAAAAGGAGCAGGTACGGGCGGCGGCCATTTAAATAAATTAAGGTCATTGTTTAGACGACGTCCTTAAAGTTCCTTTGGACTGACACGTCGAAATAAATCGACCGCTAAAAGTGAAATGAGTCTATCGCATACAAGCTTTAAAACTATACAAAATGAGGTTCGGTTCCCGAGCTTTTTTAAAATCTTCGCATTAATGTAATAAAGTTCTTTTTTTATATTTTAGTATATGGATTCCTAATTCGATGCGCTTCGACTTCACCTACTATATATTAAGTCGTGAATTTCTTTAATAGATTTTCAATAATTATAGTATTACAAGATTGAAAATCTATTACGTAAGTTCAAGACTAAGGGACCAAATTTGCCTGCCTTTTTAATATTAGGGTAGGTCATGACCGTAGAGGTCACACAAGTATTATTTAGAAAACGACGTAGCCGTATCACTTTTGAACGAACCATTACTCAACAACTTCATTACAATATTAAAAGGAGAAGAAAGGATTATTTTTATATTACATGCGATGCTTTACCGTCCTATCAAGACATGAGCATCTACACTTATATAATTTTCGGATATTTTACGGTTTTGGTGCGACAGATTACCTTATCCTTGTAATTACGATCATCATTTTAGGTTTAAAGAGTTCATTTGATAAGTTATTTGTGTATGTAAAATATTCCATTAGTTTTGATTTCAAAGCTCTTGTGGACATCACTTCTACAAAATGTAACGAAGTAACGTACCGAGCCTATATTTTTGGCTCTTCTTTGAATAAATTATTCCCAATGCACCTATTGTTTAAAGAACAATTCATAACTACACGTCAATTAAAGAGTGCATTCAAAATAAATAATTGCACTGATAACTGTGAAACGTGTAGCAGGTTCGGTCTTCGCCCAAAACAAGACTATGATCCACAAATTTTTACTTCGGGTCTGGGTGGCTTGCGTTCGTGAATTTGTATGTTTTAAACGCACTCACGACACAGGAGAAAATCTGGGGCAAAGGAACCACCACACCATAACCGTAGTCCACGCGATACATAGAGATTCACATAAATATAATATATGCACTATTCGAATTAAGGCAAATGTCTATTTAAATTTGAGACTCGCAAGCGCCGTTACACTGTACAATACATGTATCATGTATTTCATACCCAGTGCGTGAATTGCGTCACACTGTATATAACTACAATATACTTACTTACGCGGCTTCCGCCATACTTTACGCGGCTATCCAGAGCACATGTCCGAATGTTCGTCCCATGCTGCGACCTTCGGAAGAGAAAGCAAGTCGTTAAACAAAGTTTTTGCCATCCTTAGATGTCGCCACTGTTGATTTAAGAATGTCTCGAGTCTTATTGTGTGAAAAAATTTAATTAATTAACTTCAAGAAAAATAAGTTCTTTGGTCAATTTTGGCGACGACTTCTAAAAGCATTGATATAGCTATAGGGTTATTTCTTTTAAAACGAAAAAATAGTCTCTCAATTTAACTTTGCGTTTCAAAATGGTTTGTTTCAGCAATAATTGAATTCAATGGTTTTAAAGCATTGCTAACTATATACTTGTCAAAATTAATATTGGATTATTAAAATATAAAATTATGAGCACTTTATTTAGAAAACAATTAATTCAGACTGTAAAACAATTAATTTAAAATAGTTCTCACCTGACAATCCCTACTACAGTACCACTGGTTAGCACAGCCTGCACAGACAAATTGCGCGTCTCTCCGCCGACAGCCCTGGCACAGGGGCGTCTCCTCATTCGCATCCGCTTGGTCCGCGGTCCCCTCGGCCGGGGCTTCGCCACCGCCTTCGTCTATAACCAGCCGCCCCGAACCTGAGCCGGATGGAGAGCCTGATGCCTCACCTTCTGACGCTGGACTTTCTTCATCGTCCTGGAAATATATATATATATATTTGTATAATTCATTTCATGGCTTGGTGGTTACAGTAACCAAATTTGGTATTGGTTTGATGATGGTGGTGGTTAGAGAGCTGCTTGACTTGACTGCTGGTATATAAGACACAATAGAAAACGCATTGTGTCACGTGTAATTCTGCGGGTTAAGCTTGTTTTATTGCTCTCGCTGTAAAAGTTAGGGAATTTAATAAACATGATGGAAATTACGGAACCGATTTAAGTGAAACTTGGTACGCGTTACCTAAAAGTTAATTTTTAGAATATTCTTTAGAGCTATTCGCTATTCTATTAACACATTCAGTGCCCCCGACGCGTATGTGCGTTTCCTTACGCTACTCTGTGTGCCCTCGACGCACCATAATAATGTAATACATTAATGTATTGAACGCACAGGTGCGTCGAGGGCACACAGAGTAGCGTAAGGAAACGCACATACGCGTCGGGGGCACTGAATGTGTTAAGGTCGTATCTTTGATCCCCCTGGGTGAGGCGAGTGTCAAACTCTTAGTGGCTAAAAACCACTACATGTTACGTCTCCTACTCCTTGCCGGGGCTCGGTATTTAATTGCTCTTACACCCGGAACCCCTTAATTTTATAATTGTGCAAAAATTAAAACAGTCACATCCTGTCTCTCTGCCCTTTTTTTCCATTACACCATGATATATTCCGTATGAATAGCGAATTTCATTAAAATAGGTTCAGTGCTTTTCATAATTTCGAGTTTAAAAGTTTGTATAGAAACCTGCACCGTGTATATGTCGCAGTAAGATAGATGTAGCCGTAATATAGTAAAATTAATCTAGTAATATTAGTATATCACTAAACTTGGTCCGTTTTACAACTATATCCCTAGTGAGATAGTAATGAATCGCTTTCGTATAACTATGTTCCGGTATATAATTATATCACTAGGGATATAACTATATTACGGCTACATCTATTTTACTGCCACATATACACTCTCAAGTTATGTACAGGTAGAACATCAACTTACAAGCTGAACGACTTCTTCTGGTTTCTCAGGCTGCGGTTCCGCCGGCGGAGTGGGCTGCACTGGTGTTATCGTGATCTCCCCACAGTTCTACAACACAATCCAATACACAAGTCAGCCATATTGTTTTATTGTAGCATTAGTAACACATATAATATAATAATTGTTTTATTTATTACTATTAATGTTTTGATAAATGTATAATGTAGTTATAATAAGACTTGATATACTATGTTATTTAATTTGCCGGTTGTAATTTGAATTGGCTCAAATAAAACATTTTTTTGTGCATTTATCGAGTAGGGTTCACAGGAGTCTCATCATCGGATTCTGATTAACCCTTGGTTTACTATTGAGACACAACAACACACTCAATAGTTTAATTCGTATTTATGCTTTAGAATTAAACTTTTACATTTTTAATTGGATTGATAACTAACTAACTAGTTCAAAAGTAGTAAAAATATATTTATCAATACTTTTACTGAATTGTCAGTATGTAATTAATAATTTTCTATTAATGACATACGAGATTGCTTCGTAAAGAAAATATGATTGTTTTTTCTCATTAAATTGTCAAGTAATTTAACTATTGACTAAAGTAACTGTTCTGTTTAAGTGATAAGTGCAAGCAGTTCTAACCAACCTAAAAGAGTACTAGACTAGTCCAGAATGTTGTTGGAACATTAATAGCAAGGTATACTCCATGTAGTCATGTAATGATTTCTCGGTAAAAATGTTTCAGAATTGAATGTTTTTCAAATGCGTGTTTTGATAAGTGCAAATGAAATTGAGCCAGTAAACATAGAATGCTGTGCAATTTAAAAACATGATAATATTTTGGTTTTAAAAGAGACCGCGTTATCTTACGACGATGAGGAACCATAAAATGTATAATAAAATCAATATAGATAAGTAAATAGGTACTATACATATTTCTGATACATATGATCACTTTCAAAAACTATAGATACGGGTCTATAATATATTTGCCTACAGGAATTAGGATTTTCAATAAATACTTTTTGCTCTTAAATGTTCTTTAGATAATATGATTTATGATCATGAGGTGGCATTATTCAATGAGCATTGCCAGTCTCTCAAAAATCAAATCAAATAATCTTAATATTAAAAAGTTGAAGCTTTATTTCGTAAAATATTAAGAGCAACCTCTTTGTTTGATTAAATGTATGGTACGGTGAGAAATGTTGATTTTTGTTCATGTCTTCCTTTATTAAAGTTGCCCTTAACATGTTACGTGTAAGTTTTTAGGGTTTAGACACATTTCGGATGCTGAGGCCGTGCATACAGCACAACGGTCATTCATACATCAACTTCCAAAAGATTTTCTAAAGGTTTCAATCAACTATGCGGGGTCGAGGCATGTTTGGGGCGATCCTACGTGTCGAAACCCTAATCACAAGAGCTCCAACTTTTTAAAAGCATAACATATCTTAAAACTAAATTTTGAATTTTGAATGATCAAGGCCAATCAGCACACCAATTGTTATAATTTCGTACATTAGTGGTACCTTGGCCTGACCGAAACTTGGTAACGTTGGCGCACTCTGTATCCTTTCCGGCGACATGAGCAGTTTAGCCAACGTCGGGGAGTAACTGTGAGACGCAGGAGACGACTGCTGGAAGGTTGGCAACACTCATTTCAAGCTAGTTTGCAAGCATTATTGCCATATACAAAAAAAAATATAATATTAATGGAAGCTGGGATATGAGTATTTCTACAAGCCATAAAGTGATATGTTTAATAGTTATAGATACCTTTGTGAGGATGCCGTGCAGTAAGGAGTTTTGTTGTGTTGTTTCCGACTGGCTGGTGGTGACAGGAAGTAGGGAAATTTCTGGATATGGTGGGGGTGGGGGTAGCCTGGGGCTCGGAGAAGCGAGTCTCTCTGCTTGCTTCACAGACACGTGGACATCTTCATGACTCCTCTCCTGTCTCCTTCTTCCTTCGGGCCTTATATGGTGTTCAGGCCTAGTGGTAATGGTTTCTGGTGGTCGGTTGGGTATGAGGCCTGCACTGGCCTGCTGCATGTTGGCGAATTGGACGAGCACGTCTTTGAACGAGAGCCCGTTTGGTAGGCCACTGGCTTGGAATTGTTGTAGCCGTTCCAACATAGCTTTCTGGTTCTGAAAATATGAAATAGTTTTCATAATTAGTTAAAGTAGATTACATGTATTGGATGTCTAAATTTAAGGAATCAAGAGAAAATTACAAGATGACGCATAATATTAAGAAACGGGTAATGTAAGTTGTTTTAATTTAAATTCTAATTGTTGTAACTGAAAACAGAATAAAATACTTATATTTATTTTTAGCATACTGAGTAAGCATCTTAAAAAAGTCTTATTCCTCGTCAGACTCAGGTCACATTGAGAACAATAGCTTGGTAGCAGGTCAATAGTGTTAATTAATTAAATTCTCAAGGCTGTTTGTACTTGTATAATATAACATAAAGAAATTCTTTGATGGTTTTTTATTTACCAATTAGGTAACTTGTTATAGACAATGCTGCTGAATTTAAATGTGGAAGGCAAAAGAATGATAAAAGAAAAGATGGATGAAAGAAGTAAGGTAATGACGTTTTTGAGTTATTTTGGCATCTTTTCTAGAATAGTCAGATTAATATGCTGATGTGTAAAAGACCCACAAAAAAGAATTACAATTTTAATACAATTTTCTGGAATTGTTCTCTCCTCAGAAGTCTACTACAGAATGAAGTAGCAACTACTCATACATTACATTATTTATTTTTTACATTGTCTTGACTTTAAAAGCGAGCCTCCGAGTATATTTCGGTATTTCTTCTTAGAGTAGTCAGTTAGGAAATGCAGACTTCATCTATTTTTGTTTGAAGTTTAAAAGAATGCTGTTTTACGGTCTATTTGCAAAAATAAATTCCTGGGTTCACTGAAAAAAAACCAAGATACCGTACGTAATGCTTTAATAGATTTACCGACCCGGAAATCTAATCCGAAAACCCTTGCTCAGCCGTCACGCTTGCTACTCAAGCAACAAGATAAAAGTAACAAAAATTATTACAATTCGAACCCAAATCTTGACTGTCAACGAACACCAATACTTATAACGTTGACGTTATAATCATTATATGTAATAACTATTTTAATAGCTAGAGACTAGTCGATCGAAGGTCATTCGAATCCTAGCTTGGTACATATTGGGTCAAGGTGTCTGTCAGTCACCTAACAGTGCTGTACAAAGGTCAGTTGATAACCTAACAGTTTTTATTGGAGTAAAAAGTGTTTGCGGTTGTGAAGACCAGTTTTCTTTAAAGTTTCAAAACTCACTGCTTTTACTCGTGGACCAAGATATTGGATATAAGATATTGGACCACAGCCTCACAGAAAACCGGAGTGAAACAACCCCTCCGGTGTGTTTCGCCGTGTGAGTGAGGTTACCGGAGGCCCAACCCCGTTCCTCCATCCTTTCCCGATCCTTAAATATCCGAAACCAATATACTTTGATATTGCGCCGCCGCCCATGGACACCCGGGTGGCGCTATCAGGTAATCTGAGTGATCGCTATTACATATTACAATAGAAGAAAACGAAATACCTAGTTTCCACTTCCGTCGAATTCCGATTCGATTCCGATTCCGATGAATTGAATACAGGAGAGAAAAGTGTGGGAGAGCCATAATGCTTCGGCACGAATGGGTCGGCTCGACCGGAGTGATACCACGGCCTCACAGAAGACCGGCTTGAAACAACCAGAGTGTTATGTTTCGCCGTGTGAGTGAGGTTACCGGAGGCCCAATCCTTCCCCGACCCCAATCCCTCCTCAATCCCTAAATCTCCAAATCCCTAATCCCTAAAAGGTCGGCAACGCACTCGTAACTCCTCCGTTGCGGGTGTCATTGGGCGGCGCTGATTGATTACCATCAGGTAATCCGTCTACTCGTTTGACGAACAATTACATTAAAAAAAAATTAAAATCGACTTAGCCAATCGCGAGATAGTCGCGGACAAAGTGCAAAGACATCAAAATGAAAACCATGTACGTATGTTTCAGCAGTCTTTTTTACTTGTATGTTCACTTACATACTCTGCTTACCCCAAAAACCCGAGCGTGAAGATACGTTATCAACCCTACAACGACCATTACATGCAGTACTGTTCTATACAGACAGTCATTGACTATTGGGGTCAAGGAACAATTACAAATTAGATTATTGACTCGACTCTTAGTTCTAACGATCTATGTTCGTATACTTCAACTGGGTTACGGTTATTGAATTATATTTTTAGAAACGTTTCCGATTGCCTTTATCATCGAATGGTCGTAAGCGCATGGGATCCGATAAGGGAGACCGGTAAAGTGTTATTGGGTATTTTGGCATTTCTTCTGCCATACGTTGGCAAACGAACTGACAGATCACTTGATCTGCAACACCGGAAGAAGTATGAGTGCGTTTTTTTTTTGGAAGAGACAATAATCAAATGACTTCTCACGCCCAGGGTATGACGAGAGGAAGTGTCAGACTTACTGACTTAAATCCATCCTGTTTCTTCTCCTGGTATATTACTAAACTTGCACTCCTTCTCGCCCCACCCGAGGCAAGAGATGTGATTTTATTCCCCCCTCAAAGAATAACACAGAAAACCGGCGTGAAATAACCACTGCGTTGTGTTCGCCGTGTGAGTGAGGTTACCGGAGGCCCAATCTTTCCCCTTCCCCAATCCCTCCTCAATCCCTAAATCTCCAAATCCCTAATCCCTAAATGGTCGGCAACGCACTCGTAACTCCTCCATTGCGAGTGTCCATGGGCGGCGCTGATTGCTTACCATCAGGTAATCCGTCTGCTTGTTTGCCGACCTATTAAATAAAAAATAAATAAAAAAAATATTATTAAAAAAACAAAATACCCGACTGCACACTAAAAAAAGAGTAAAACAAGCCCCACAATACAAATTTACTGAATATAATTTATAAATGTTGATGGAAAGCATCGCAGGCGGGGACCAACAGAGGCTTATTTATAGTCATTTCTGTTGTGCACCATTTAGCAGAATTTTCGTTGGTGGCGGTCAAGGTGGTCCCCGCCTGCGATGCTTTCCATCAACATTTATAAATTATATTCAGTAAATTTGTATTGTGGGGCTTGTTTTACTCTTTTTTTAGTGTGCAGTCGGGTATTTTGTTTTTTTAATAATATTTTTTTTATTTATAACTTTTTAGCTGTTTTTATTTAACGAACGAAAAAATCGCTATTTAGAGACGACCGTCAACGACGTGTGCCCTTATGCGTGTGCCCGCATTCGGGCTGTAAGTATACTCGAGCATATCCCCCTCCGCACCGCGCCGCGCGCCGCATGCCAGGCCACGCCCTATCTTTTTGCTTGCTAACGCATGAGTTGCTTTGCGTTGACGCAGAATTAACATGTTCCCGTGGGAATTTTGAGAAAAAACTTATCCTATATTAATTACTCCCGTGATTGAAATGAATCTAATGATACCGCATACATATTTTTTTAAAGGGAAATTTAGAAAAAAATATTATTATGTCTTTATCCCGTGGGACTTTTAGGATAAAATGTATCCTATGACACTCCCGTAATCAAGACAAATCTAACGATACCTCATACATCAAAATCCATCAAGCCGTTTAGGCTACAGGAGGTCACAAAGGAAAAGACATACATACATACTTACATACACTCGAAAAACATTACCCTCCTTCTTTGGCAGTCGGGTAAAAATAAACCTCATCACGAAAAGTCCGACTATTGTAAGTAGATTATACCGTTGTAAGTCTGAAGGGCTATTCTCCTGACCTTTCCCAATGACTCAAGAGAAACATAGATCACGTAAGTTATTGCTGACGTTTAACATATTGTAGTACCAAATGAAAAGGTCCAAAGGACGACACAACATAGTTCATAGTTAAAGATAAACCTATTCTAGCTATTATAGTTTGAGAATGACTCATTTCCTCTCTAAGATAACTAAAATGTATATAAAATGAATGAACTAAGGCTAGTTTTAATTAGAAATCAAAGATATCGCACAAAAAATTATAGCGATTAATGATAGCAATGAAGTTGAAATAATGTTGAACAATTCTTCATGAAGTAAATTAATAGACAATGAAGGACTTACCATATCCAGATTATTGAACAGCATGTTGAGGTTGTTCAAGTTGTTCAAATTATCCACTTTCGGCGCTATAGGTCGCGGGGCATTCATAATATTAGGATTTAATATAGACTTCATCCTCCGACCTCTTCGCGGCGTCACTTCTGGATTTCTTTGCCTATAATCTGCTATTATGGATTTAACGTCTTTTGTAGGCCCTTGCCGACCCATGGGGAGACCAAAACTAGAAGGTAACTGACCATTCATGTCTCTTGGGAACCCCGTCATGTGACCGGGCATCATCATCTGTTGAGGGAATACTGGTTTCGGCATAGACATGTGCGCCTTGTCGTAAGGCGGCGGTAACCCCGCCATGGGGTTGAAGTGGGAAGTACTCGGCATAATAGGGGTCGGTAACATTGGAGCCATGGAGGTCCCTGGCTGTTTAAGCGACAGCCCAGAAATCTCGTCACTTTTATCTATAGCTAAATTCTTCGCTTGGTTATTAAGATACTCGAACGGATCCCGATCCCTATCACCGCCGTTAACTTCTTGAGATTTTTCGTAATTTAAAACTTGTTTTCGCCTTAGGAGTCGGAGTAGGATTTCTTCTTTGACTTTTTTTAAGTGAAGAATATTGTTCCACTCGTGTTCCTTTTTCTGTGCAAGTTCTCTGAGCGTCTGTATCTCGGATAGCAGCTGTTCTGTATGCCTCTGTAGTTCATCTACGTTGTTCTTTGTGGCTCTTTGTATGTAGTCGTTGATCATCGTGTCGTGTTGGGGAAATGTCTTCTCTACCTCTTGACACAGTTTCTTTAGAGGTGATTCAGTGTCCACGTCCTCGCTTGGCCGTCTTTTTGTACCTTGATCCTCCTAGAAATAAAATATTTAATTAGCAACTTACTCAGTCTGCAAAGGTATATTTCTTATATTTCTAACAAAATGTAGTTCACTATGTTGGATCTACAAGTTAGGTCTAGACCCTGAACTCTAGGCAAATACACGTCATATTCTTTACACAGTTGCATTCTACTTTCAATTTTAAATTACTATAACATTATGTAAGTCTTTATTTATACATTTCTGTTGTGGTGGTTAGTTTTTCATGTAGGTGCAAGTAACAATTATTCTAATGTTTTAGTCCCCTGTATAATAAGGAAAAAAAATAATCCTTTCTTTAGTATTTTAAACCTTTCAAGTGGGTTCTTTAACCAAAGGCACAAAATTTAAATACTTACTAAAATCGCAATCATATTCTATTAAGACTTTATACAAATGCAACAAGGCTCCAATACTCCTGTCAATAAGTCTAGATATCTATTACGTAGACTATAGACATGGTAATATGCGATGGCCTTAATTCCTGACCTCACTTGACCCTGTTCATTTCGACTCATGACCATACAATTTTGAGCTAGTAAAATAAATAAGTAGATGACTATGAGAACTATGCGTGTTAAGAACTGCTTGGGGGGCGTCCATAAATTATGTGAGTGTTTTAAAGAGGGGAGGGGGTCGGTCGAGTCAAATCTCATCTAATTTTACGTTGGGGAGAAGAGAGGTCTCGACAAATATCAAGCAATTAAAAAAAGTTTATTATTCTATTTTTAACTCTGAGCAATATTGATTACTAGCTAGTTTCGCGCGGTTTCACCCGCTGTTCGGCTCCATTTAATCGTAGCGTGATGTTTTAAAGCCTATAGCACTTATGAACACTGTAGCTATCAATCAATGAAAGAATTTTGGAAACCCAACCAGCGGTTCCAAAAAGTACCCCCTACATACAAACTTACAAATTTTGCCTCTTTATACATAGTATAGAAGTATAGACTAGTCTGAACAAGTAAATAAAGTCGCAAATTGTTTGTTTTTTCTTTTCTTTTTACAATTACAATCAAATGCATTAACGTAAGTAACCCACATTCTGAAACTTCTCACGAGAGATATCATGAGAGATCCAAGAGTTTATGTATGTGTGTCGTGGTGACCCGGGAGGTTAAAGTCGGAAATATGTTATTGTATATAAGTTGCATGGTGTGCTGTGTCGTGGCAAATGTATGAAGGCTTTCTGCCGCGACACGACACGGTATACCATTCAAATATACCTAAAACCTGGCTGAGGCTGCGGGTTCGAAGTCAAGGGCAATGAGGTACCGAAGCCCAGGCCTGGAGCAGGATAAAGAATGGGGTGGTTTACAGTCATTAAGAGTCTGAACACCTTCTCGCCTTACCCCGAGATAAGTAATTAGGAACCCCTCCCTCAAAACAATATTTTGTACTTTCTAAGATTCACACTATTATAATACGAGTAAACCTGGTCTTATCAATTGCTGATTATAAATTCGCAATCGTCAACCCGTTTTGAGCAAACGTGCGGATTGTAACTCACGTCTTCTTTAAAGACATGCACTTATAGTTGTGTGTGTGTTAATGTAGCCTGTACCGCGCGCCAGATGCAAGACCATAAATAGGCCTGGGAACTACTTACATAGGACTTCCATGCATAATAACATTAATTTGTTTGAGTTTTTTTATATATATATAATCATATCTTGCGAATAACACTTAATTTTTTTTAATGTAAGAACGAATGCTAATGCTGTTGGATCGCAAGTTTGATATTTTTTACAAATCATTGTAACAAAGGTGCTGCGGGCATCTAGGTGGACTGACGACATCCGCAGGGTGGCTGGCAGTGGTTGGATGAGAAGAGCTGAACATTGAGCTCAGTGGCATGCAATTGGGGAGGCCTATTATAGGCCTCCCCAATTGCAATCCACATCATCATGATGTGGATGGATATTATATCCATCAGTGGACGACATCAGGCTGATGATGTAACAAAACTTTTCTATTTAAACTTCCATAATGTAAATGCTTTATACCATTACCTAATATTTTAAAGAATCTCAGATTGTTTTTTACATTGAATGTAAATGTTATTATATTGTTATTTACATGGCAGCCTACATTTTAAACATTCTTGCAGGATTGGGTCACACCCGATAGAAATCTAAATATAACGAGGGCATATCCCAAAGCGAAATAATAAGTATAAACTAAGTTTTAATCATAATATTAGTGTACAGAGCCGCCATAGTTTACAATTTACAATACCGCCATATCGAACAGTTTGTCAGCAGCTTGGGTAACATGACCTTGGCAGAGATCAAGTGTCACGGAAGGTCGTTGTGCAACAAGTTTTTATTCACAAACCAGAGTCAAACACAGAGTTTTAGAACTTTATTTTTTTTAAAGTGAAATTTGCAACTGAATCCATCGGCTGGATTTTTCGGGGCTTGAGAATATGGTGCGACTGTCTTAGGCTGGGGTCACATTGACGGGAAATGCCAATAATTGATGATATTAAGCAATGAAAAATATACCTTAAATCATTTGTTTAGTGATCAAATTACACCTACGATTAACGTCCATTATAGCGATAATGAATGGCATTTCCCGTTAATGATTTAGATCCCAAGCATTAGGAATTAGGAATAAAAATTAACAATCAATATTTTTATTGTCACTTTCATTTTTTACTGCTCAAATTCGTTGGCAAAATACTGCAGTATTTAGTATTCTATACATGTATCGCTGTAGTATGTAGGTACTATTCTAGTCATCTACAATCACTATATTGGAGTCCAATGTTTACTAATATTAATATGTACCAGAATGTTTATATATATGTACAATAATAATCCATAACCTAACCATGCAAGTGTTTCATATACAAATGTATAGGTACAAAATTTTCTAATAATATCAAAGTCTAGTCAGATGTGATATTATTCTACAGTTTTATTTTTGTTTTCATATTCATTTAATCATTTGCAAACATAGGTACATAATATATAGATGTAAACAAACTTTTTAATAAAAGGAAATACAGTGATGATCTTGCACACTACAATGATGCACCCTGGACCATTTAAAAGTCTACATATATGTTTAGATATTCAGAAACAAACTACAAAATCATAATAATTATTCTACTACATTTATACATAACTAGCTACTTCCCCGCGGTTTCACTCACTGTTTGGCTACATTTGATTGTAGCGTGATGTTTTATAGCCTATAGCATTCGGGAACATTGTAACTATCATTAAGTGAAAGAAATTTGGAATCCAACCAGTGGATCCAAAGATTACCCCCTACATACAAACTTATTTTACCTCTTTATAATGTTAGTATAGATACGGAATATTGCTTACCTTCGTTACAACATCCCCATTTACTGACTTTGGTTTAGGTTTCTCCACTTTTTGTTCTGCTTTCTCTTCAACCGTAACTACCTCTGTCATGTCCGCATCAACCTCGGGTTCCAACTTCTTTGGTTCCTCAACCACCATAAGCTCCTCTTTCTCAGAAACAGGTGCTTTTACTGGGACCACGGTTTCTACAACAACATTGTCTGAAGCAACCAGTTTCTCAATTACATCTGGAGCTTTACTAGTACTCGGAACTGGTTCTATGGTAGGTGCTGGTTCATTCTGCGGTTGCTTAGGTGGTTCAGGAGTCAAGGTCTTTGCAACCACAGGGGGGCTACTACTACTTCTTTCGCTTTTCAAACTCTCTGAAAGATTTTAAAGATATTAATAAAACAATATTATTTTTTGTTATACAAACTATATTGTATTATTTCATACCATGTGTATTTTGGGTAATCTTATTATCAGCTAGTATAAAATTTTAAGATGTTACTCTTAGTCACTTTATACCAAAATGAAAAATAATTAACTTTATTATTAACTGATAAACCCATTTCATTACATTTAATATTTTTAACCAGTAGAAAAATGTATGCTTTTCTACAAGCTTAAATGTAGAATTTAATTTGTATGAACTATGTGACACATATATAAGTTTATTGGGAAGTTATTATTTATGTAGAAAACAAGCAATAGTTATGTAAATAATGGATAATTGATATACCTAATTTCTATAAAACTGTTGAGTTAATGTAAGAGCAAGTTTTAACAAAAACTTGTAAAGGAAACAGGCCAATATACCCACATAGAAAGAAAGAAAATTAGTCAACATTGATTGACTATTTTACAAAAGATATTGATTTCATTGCCATATAATATAATTAGGGTACTCAAAATTAAATGAGGTTTCATAAAATTGATTTATTCCTAGAAAGGATTGACATAATTTTTGAGGTTCACAAAAAAATTTACTTACCTAACATATAATTATAATACATGATTACAAGTTAGTTTGTATATTTTATATGATAATGTAGAAGGTATAATAACTAAGGAGATAAAAAAGAAAATATTTCACATAATTAGTTATGTGCCAGTCACTTGTAACTTAAAAGTGTCACTGAATGAAACAAGGTATTCCAAAAGAGTATATAATATATATTATTTGCTACCCTCAAATTTCAATTATTACTTCAATAAAAGATGTCTAAATGTCAAAAACAATAGTACTTATTCTATAAGTTGTATGTATATAGTAGTTGTATCTTTTGTAAGAACATACATGGTCAGATCTTAAAAAAAAATTAAAAGTAATTGATTTTTTGATTAATTGATTAATGGGTGTTCAACTATCTTAAGATCTATAGGTTGAAACAAGTAATTTTTAAGATTTCAGAAAAAATACACTATTTGTAGGTAAAAGTCACAAATACTTAGTGAATTCCTCTCTCGATAAATATATCAAAACCTTATTTAGTTTCACTATACTTTAAAAAAAAATGAAAAAGAGATAAGTTACAGTATGCACTGTTTTATTAATGTTGTTGAAAAAGGTGTATGTTTACTAAGTTTCATTATTTCCTTGTCCTACAACCTAAGTTATTTTATAATTAGACTTCATCCTCTTATGGCCTCCTTTAATAAAAGAATCACAAAATATTTTCTTGTTACTAGCTAATTTGAGAATGAAGTGTATTTCTAATTGGAGTTTAATAAAGAAATTAGTAACCATTGTTTTGTTTAGCTAAGTAATGCAGTACAGTCTTGCTACACAGTAGAAATTGATGACAAAAAGTGAAATAACAAACATGAATCAAATTACTACACTGCATTTAACAGAACATGCAATCTATTAAATTCTTCAAATTTTTTGACAGTATGACACTTTTTTCCTATAAACCTACTTGATGAGATCAATTTGATAGGTAGTTTATCACTCACAAAAAGGAAGCAATAATTAACCATAGTTACCATTACCATTCTCAGGTTTTTCAGGCTGGACATTTACAAAACTATCACTACTTCCAGTCTGACTCTCACTTAAATTTTCTTCTTTGGCATTATCATCACAGTTTCCCGCCTTTTCCTCGTCAACTTTCTCGAGCTCAGCTTCCTGCGATACCGGCTCCTTGACTCTGTCGAGTTCACCTTCGTCTATTGCCAACGGATCAACCTCATTCTCAGCACTTGTATCCCCTGTTGGAGACACATCAACACCACCGTGGCTCTTCGGAGATTCCACTATTTTCAAGCTTATATCGTTCATGTTTATTTACATATTTCCGATTCACAAGTCACTGCATAGTGTCACCACGCCGCGCATAGGTTCAATGACTTTAAAATGACCATTTGTAACCATAATTCATTAGACAGCTCCACAGCAAACATTCAACGGTTCACAAGCGCTGCACTTTAACTAAATAAATTATAAAAACAAGTCTAATTGCTAAATTATTTGTAATTTCTTTCCCATATTGGGTAATATCACAATGTACTAGCAATAGCAGCCGTGAACTCAGGGGTCATTGTGATTAATTTCGTGACAACAGTACACTGTTTGCTATCTTAACGAGTCACTACACATCATTTTTGGAGTAAATTTAATTTCAGCTTAAAATTACTTTTGTATTCTATAAAATTATCAGCAAAATAAATGCTACAGCGCTAGGACGCAAATCGCACGCGAATTATTCGGAGTTGCCATGTTGTAGCGACCAAATTATATTATTTTTATAAAAAAGGTTCATTATTTTACTCATTTATCAATCACATAGTTTAAATGAAACAATAATTAAATTAATTCATTTATATGGACCAATATCAGCGAACAAAGCAAATATCATAATATGATGTTAATATTTTTCAAATAAATATTCTTTCTACCATCTGATGAGTATATATTTTTGATGGTAAGTAAAGTGGCCCATTCAATTACACGCAAGAATTATTATCAAACGTTATAATGTTCAACAAATAAATATTTCAACAATTATGCTTTAAAATATTCATGTATTTATCGTCGAAATACTATTTTTTCTAAAATTTAAAGTTTGTAGAGGTTTTAAAGCTTAGAAAAAAAAATTAAGTTTCAGTTGAGGTTAAAGTAAATATTATTCGAAAAATATGTGTGATATTGTGAGTAAAGGAAAATCCTTTTTCCGGCGGATACACACAAGTTAAAGCACTAACAAAGTTTTACATTTCTGCCATAATAAATATTAATGATTATAAAATTGAAAGTAATATTATATAATAAACTTAAAACTTTCATAATTATAAGTTATATGAAAGCTACTTGTAATTTTATCAAATGTAAAACTATCAAAGTTACACTTCTTTTAAATTTTCCGCCAACCTAGCCAAAAATGTCGTAGTGTTGTATCAACAGCGGTATGACAATTAAATCGAAGTCTACAAATAATCGATTTCGTAGAAATTATAAAATTAAATCAAAATAGTACCTCCTCTTTTTTTTGAAGTCGGTGAAAGTGTATAATAAAAGGAAAGATTCTCAAATGCTATTACGGCTACTCAAGAATTAAATATTTTTGAAATTTGTTATTTTCAGTAGCTTTTTTTTACGAATTAAGGGTTTTGTTACATGAAAAATAGTTTTATTTAGTTATTACTCTAGAATTTACTCAATTCAATACTTTTTGAAAAAAACACATCTAGACAGGTAAGAAACTAATGTGTCATTAAAATTTTTATACTTATACGGAAAATTTTAGTACTACACAGTTTGTTTTGAATTATTTGCATGTTATGTTGAATATTAAAAAAAATATGAGTTCCTAAAACACAATTTTATCAGATTTATGAACGAATAAAAATATTTAATCGAGAACTCACGACTGCCAACATAACCAAGCTGAATAGATGAGCACACCACTAAACGATGATGAAAGAAAATGAATGAAAAAAGCAAATGGCTGACTAAAATCGACGTTCTTGGTCCTAATATAAATCCGATGTAATTACATGAATTATGCGCTCTTCATGATTATGATTAGCGAAATAAGATTATTTAAAGAGTAAAGAACTAAGATTACTGCATATTACAGGCAGAAAGCCTTTAAAACTAAAGATACATCAGAAACTAATACCTTAGCTTACACAATTCGTACTAAATTGCAAAAATATTTATTGTGCGTGTGACGGACGCACGTCCGTTTATTACTCAGGTGAGTCCTTTTATTTTTCCCTAATGTGCATGTGCTTGTGCAGTGCAGTGATTTGTTTATAATCTTTTTTTTGGAATTATTAAAAATCGCGAGTGCTTACGACTGTTTTATTTTTAGAATTTGTTACATTTTAATTAATTTTCTGAGTAATTATTTATTGTTTAGCGTATTAAGTGGTGTTTATTTTCATTAACGGTAACCTGAAATTATTTGAATGTACCTTCATAACTTTTGTCTACGTGCTTATTTTTTGCGAGTACAGTCAACCATAATAATAAATTAGTACTGCTTGACAATCGCCGATCATGTATGTACTTTTATTTACATCAACTTTTGTGAAGTTTTGTAGGTATGTACTAACCCTTAATACTAATATTTCTAATTATTTTGTTGTTATTTATGTTTTAGATGAACTTTGTTCAGCTTAAGTATGGCTTATCAATTTTATTTATGCTTTAATTTAATGCAAGCATACGTAATTCTTATCATTAATATTTTTTATGTTTTAGTTGAAGTGATGTGAAGTGTCGACATAGGGCGGGGGCGCCGCCCCAGTCGACCATGGAGCGAGGCTACGATAAGAGGCATACCAAACACCACAAGGAGAAGCATAAGAAGCGGACTCATAAAAAGCACAAGTCTCATTCAGGTAGTTCGCATGATCCATCTTATGCTACACTCAATTCTCATAAACCGCTTGTGGAATATTCCGATGTTAGCTCAGAGGCATTATCAGCCCCTGAGGCTGGTGAGATAGACAGTGAAACAAGCTCAATCAGCAGACATATCGCTGATGACCTTGATAGAACGAGGAAGTCCCATTCCATCCGTACATTTGTAGATAACAAGACAATATCAGTGACAACCACAAGCCGACGAGCTGCTGAAGAATATGCTCTGCGGGATGCATCTGTGCCTAGGAAGAGACGCACAGAGTATGATGAACGTGAAGCAGACTTTGATGACCATGGTAGTTTTAAGAAGAAAAAAGACAAGCGGAAAAAGGATAAGAAAAAGAAGAAGAAGAAATCAAAGAATAGGTCTAGATCAGCAAGCTTAGAGAGCGTATCACCGGATGATATTCCTGAGGAGCCTCCAATGAGAGCAGTAACACCACAGAGATACCAGCAGGTGCCTGTGAGCGAATGGGAGAAGCCATCTTCTCCATTGAGGAATGGGGGATCATGCTCCCCTGTGTCCCCGTCGATGACGCCACTGATGCGGCACGAGTCGCCACGACATCGTCCCTTCGCGAGGGAGCCATCATTACATCACAACCCAATGCCTTATTCGCCTCACAGAGACAGATCACCACCTCTCAGGTGAGTTTTACTTTTTTAAATTTAAATACATGGCTACTGGGTCTGTAATGTAGAATTTTACCTGAATAAGTCATTAAGTATTATTTATTAACTTATTAATTTGTGGTCTCAGCCCCATTAGCCCTGTGTACTTTTGTTTATTATGTAACCATAGAGAAGTTATGACTGGAGTGATGTTGTTGTAAGTTGGTATTGTTGGTAGGCTTTTATAAAGAGGTTCTCTAATCTATCAAATGCTATTAAATATGACCTTTGGAGGCTACAAGTTTACAGTGAGCATTCTAAATTAGTTTTGCTTTTTTATCATATTTGATGTAGGTTGACAGCCATTTCTTTTGTGATTAATGTGATAAGGTCGAGATATGAAAGCATTTCAATTTTCTATTTGTCTAGTCTTGTCTTTTTAGTGTAACTAAATTTTAATGAATGGATGGTTACTATGGTTTCCAGCCCCTCCTGGATGCCGATCCATCACATAGCAACCTACTCTATACAGAGTAATAATTGTGATTTGTGAGTGACTTTATGATGAGCATGAACTAATTGTGTTGTTGTAGATAAACTGTGTGTTAGAGGCAGTGAAATACTCTTGCTTTTTAAAAAGATTAATGAACTGACAGGAATGGAGTTAGAACTAAGTTTAAAAGTCATAATCCTCTGTTAATGCTCATAAATTAGTTACTTCTTTTTCTACACTCGATTTTACTATGAAAGAAAAAGTTTCAAATTAGAAATAGGTAGTTCTAAAAACGTAAGTGTTAGTAGTAGGTTGCTAGTATTTTTTTTGCTGCACATCCTTATCTATTAGATCCCATGTAGTTCTAGAAATAAGTTTTTATTCGATTTATTTTTCACAACTCTTGACTTTAGCTTGTCTTTGTTGCGTAATTTTTTAATGCCTTTATATCGTTTTTAAAAGCCTTTAGAAGTTTTATTATTAGTTTAGATGGCATTAGTTTAAATTATTCTTCATCTGTGTGAAAGTAAATTACGTTATCAATTTCTTATCGCGTTGTGTAAGTCTTATGAATCAACGCCCGGATATAGGTTATTGAGAGTCGAGCGACTAGAGCATTGACCAAATATGTACCATTGAGGACCCTTAAAATCACTTTCGATTAGTTTAATTTTCTGATAATTTGATTTGACATATCTTATACATAATTTGTGTCAGTTGTTCCTAAAGTTTGTTTCGTATTTTCTTGGCCTTTGCATGAATGTTCTACTGCTCTTAAATAATCACCATTAATTTTATTACACATGCTATTACTGTTTTAATTTAATCACATTAATTACGATACGTAAAATTAATGATTTTCTAGACATAGTCAACACACGCATGTGCTATATTTGAAAGTTAGTTCATTGCGCCTTGTCTAAAAATATTTTCTTTAATTTATTATTTACTTAGTAGTTATTAGATCGATACCTAGTTTTAGTACTGTATATAGAATTGAGCGTGTTGTATGACAATAGAATTGTCCTTTGGTACGCAGCCGAAAAGCTGATGGTGCGTTTGATATGTGCGCTTGGGCACCTCAGCCAGTTTCTTCGGGCAATAAAAAGCGTGATTCAATGTAAGTACGGCCTATTGTAGTTAGTTTAGTGCAACTTTCCTGATAAATATGTATTTTTGAGACAATTGGCTACTCCTGCAGTCTTTTGCAGTCGTTTTTGTTTGACGAGGAACCGAATAATCGGCAATTAATTAAAACGATTCGCAATACTTACGTTTATCTTATCTCGGTGCACTGGCTTGTTTGAAAACATAACGACATTTAGCGTTAATTCATTTGTGTCACGTTTTCAATAAATAAATAATAATAATTACTTCAAGAACCTACGACATTTTTAAAAAGGCATTGTTATTTCGTGTGCTGTTTAAATTATTTTTCAATTAATTTAAAATCTTAGGACGTTAGGTACTGTTAAATCCAATAGAATTGTATTTTTTCGGCATTACGATTTATGGTCCAGACTGTATTTAACTGTGATACCTGCAGTCGATATTTTTGAAGTAATAATTTCTTTATTCCTAATGGTTAAATCCTCAACCTATCAAAGCCAAGCCAGCCATATAGTTTTTGAATGAAATAAAATGCCTAAAGGTACCTTGTAGTAGTTGTTTATCTTGTTACGCACGTTCTCTCTATCAACTGTGAGAAGTGGGTTACAATGAACTTGTAAATGGCTAGCACGTTTGTTTTTCACATGCATAAAATGAACCACCGTCTATGCTAATGAAACCGTAATAAAAATATTGGCAAAAAGTTATATTATTTTCGATTGCATATTCAATTATGTAATGTACTTTCGAGACACAATATTACCTCTTATATTTATAAAAACAGTTTGAAATAATTATGGTTTACGGCTTACTTATTTTACGACGAGTTAACTTGACTAGTTTCAAGCCATTGCTGGGTCTTATATCCATGAGTAACATTGCGGGGCAAACGACTTGGTGACGATAAAAAGTAATAAATACATGTCATCTTATAAAAACACAAAGTACATTCATATTTATTGATAATTTTGTCTTTTGCTACATTTCATGAAGATTTTTAATCTTAACGGTAGTTCAGAGAGCGCTATCAAATAAAATGTACATAACTAGTATGGGTTTGTTAGGTAATTGCTTCATTGTTTGGGTAAAACGCTTTTAGATTTTCTCGATTTTACTTTTCATGAATTCATTGTTTTTTTTTGTATTCATAAGTTGCCTAGCATCGTATGTTAACAGAAGTCAGCAGGTCAACTTTCTCTTGTCATTCCATATTAAATTTTCAACTTCGTCGTTTCATAAAGTTGATATTACTTCTCTGTTCTCAATATAGTCTCAAGCAAAAGGACATTCAATTGAATCAAACAATTTTCTTTAGCTTTCGTATTGGATCTTAACATGACTCTTTTGAAGTGTATTTTATTTTATCGTACTTGCGAACGTACAGCTGTTTTGTAGATAGCTGTTAGTACCATAACTTCATCTCTCAAATGTCTGAAATGACAATTTTGTTAGGCATATAAGTGCATGTCCTTAATTAGCATAACGAATATTTTACAAGACATTTTAAGATGCCTTTCACTGGCATTCGTTCGTTCATATGCGACACATATTCAAGCAGCTGAGGTTTCAGTATCTAATGAATATATTAGAATATTCTAGTCTAGATATTCTCGTTGTAGGGATAGCAATGATTAATGCATTATTTTGTTTAATTTAAACAGTACTAAGTGACGTGGCGCTTGTCTATAATAGAAGCGAAAGAACATCTCTCCTAGTGTTCTTAAGTCCTTTTGGCGAGGTGCAATAATCATGTTAACATTCTTACCATGCAGTTTAAATTGAATTATCTGTGAATTTCTTATAAAAAGTTGACTCTCGATGTGTATTTCTTCCAGACAAGTCTGCCTCCTCCTTCCTTCCTAAGCAACAGTGACTTATAGCGCACGACAGTAAAATTCTATACTTACCTCCATGTTGAAATCGTAAATTTCTAGTTATCGATAGTTTTAACAATGTTCTTGCTCATTTGCAAATTGGTTCCACCTTTATTTGTATGGCGGTAGATATTGTTTGAAAGGTTATCCCGGTGTTTTTGTATATTAAAGACTAGTCTTATGTTAATTAATGTAGTCCCTAACTCTCGCTCTTTACCTTATCAACTTGTTACTGTCCACTGATGGATACATAAGTAGAAAGAGTAATTTGGTTCTGTGTGTAAGAAAAGGGATTGTTATAAAATTGTCAAAAAGCTAGTTACAGAATTAGGTACTAAATTAATCTTCTTAAGTGAGCTGGAAGTTCATGTTATCCTTTCGCTATTTACTATCTAAGCTTTATAATATACTTGACATAGATGAGAAATTGACACTTTACTATCCCTGCTGTCTATTTTTGGTCCAGCATGTTGATGTTGTCTAGTTAGATATTTAGAGAAATATTTATTCTATTTGCTAACCTCAATACTATGTATGTCTACAGGAGAAGACAGAAATCCACAACGCCCCATACACCATTAGCTCCTCCGTACCACGAGACAGTGACCATAGATTCTGACACGGAGGAATATGATCGCGGTCGACGAGACTACTGGCACGAGCAACACCGCTTGCAATCACCTATCATGGTGTCAGGTAATACGCATTGTAGGTATTGTTTTATGTTTCATTTGCACCTTTATTTCAATTTTTTAGACATATGCGTAATTTTTGTCCCTCCCTTACTCGTTATAAAAGATTTATTTTTGTTAGACATTTAGAAAATGTCTAAAAATTATAATGATTTTCTTAATTATGTCATTAGTTAATAAGTCTACTCAAAATTGAGTTACTTAACGAGTAATTAACTATCTTTTCATTGATTTGTATGATGTAAGCATATGTCTAAAATGCTTCTTACAAGTAGATTTCATTGCTTTTTTGCTTTTAAATTGAATTTAAGAGGGGCATAATCATTGTAATGTAATAATTATTTATGTTTTATTTAGTTTCTTTATGTATATTATGTTAAAAGTTTACATATCACATGGGATTCATACTGTAACATGGTGAAGTGGTTGGATGTATGATGTACCTAATCTTGTAGGGAATACAAGGCTTGTATATTTATATAATAATCAGTATTTCACGAATTTATTCCATTTCATAGATCTCAGTAAACTTCATTGGTAAAATGGGCCCATTTTTCTATGCATTCTTTAGTCATAAGTCATAGTAATCTTGGGAAGTGCTCTGATTAAATTTATGTAACTTAGTGTTCAACATATTACTTTTAATCATAATCGTAGTAATGAATATTTTTTAACTATGATTGATATTATCAAATTCTATCATGTATTCATAGATAAATTGGTAGATGGTAGGTTAGAAGGTGACATTCTTTGGGACCTTGACAACAATTAATTAAAAATGTAGGTTATTCATAGTTTTATTTAGATGTTCCTTAAGTAATTGCCTCCTTGGCTGCTGGCAAAATTGGGTGGTCAACATTGGGTGGACATTTATAAATATTTACACTTTTCCGTAAATCCGAGGTGTTGTGTGTTGTTGTTAAATTAATTGGTATAAAATATTGAAATTAGAATATTGCATCTGAAAAATTGGCCTATTTTATTTTTTTGAAAAGGAACTTCTGTAATAGTAAAATAATATTTAAAATGAAAGAAAGAAAGAAAGAAAAAGTATTTATTCGCGTCTGGGACGCATAAAAGACACAAAACGAACAAGATAATAAAATAAGTTAAAATAAAAATACATTGAGCAAGGTAAAAACAATATCACAAAAGTAGACGGTAGGAGAAAAATATGCGTCCAAGCACGCGAAATGGCCCACGCTCAGCATAATGCAGCGACCCCGTACGAGACGGGTTCGCGGCGCTGATTTTCAGCGATGGCCGTCACTAACGCATGACGCCAATCTGCGCAGAAACTTAAGATAAGAAAATAAGTATTTAACTTATTTTCTACTGAAATATGTTTTTTTTTTATTTGTTTGAACAATAAACTACTACAGAAAAACAAACCGCTTATGATAAAAAAAAAAATAGAGTAAAAAAGAAAAAAACAGAAAAATAAAGTACCAAATAATAGACGCCTATGTGACATTTGTCAGTGGCAACACTGAACGAATGAAAGCGACGCTCGCGCTTCCAATCCATTCGATCTGTGCATTCGATCAAAAAGTCTATTCACTATTCTCTGTCCACGTGCCACAAACAATTCATTAAAGTAATTTACAATTTGTATTTGTATTACGTAATGGCGACGCATACCAATAATTAATATGCAATCCGTCATATAAATGTTATGGAGATATAAGTGATTTAAATATGTTGTGTTGTGAGTTAAAATGAATATGAATTGTGTAATGAATGTAGTTGCAAAATGTGAAAATCGTTTCTGTAGTTTCGAAAACTTGATAACAATAAAACAAATTCTCTTACAGTTGATTGGGTATTTCCTTAATAATTTTGCATATTTTTTTAGGTATAAATTATTGAATTTGATTAGTTATCAAATACCGAAAAGGTATAGGTAAACTGAATAAACGCTTTCTGCTTCTAAATATTTTCCTAAACTTGCTATTCTATATTACCAATCTGCCACAATAATGTCACTTTTTCCCCAGACTCTCCAGTTCACGAAGTAGTGCCGCGTCCTCGGGACTACAGCCCACGTCGCTCCCATAGGCGCCGGAGTCCGCACCATCGCCGGCGGACACGATCCAGAGACCGACATCGTGATAGGGACTTCAAAACTTCTCATCGGTAAGATTAATACTAATTTTTATTTTATTTATATCATGGGTAAATAGATTTTTGCCGACTTTATGGGGCCTCCATAAAGTACGTCACACGTAAAGGAGGTAAGGGGGGGGACTAAGTGCGACAAGGGGTGGGAGGAATTAAAAAATCATGTGTCGTTGGTACTTTAAAGAAGCCTCTAGTTCAAATTCCATAACGGGGTTATGATTTGTACCTGGTATGTTGCTATACTCTTCTGGAATACATGGAGCTCATTATCCTACCGATTATTATTGAATTTCTGAAGGTGTTATGTTTATATACCTTCACAAATTCAAAGGAATGAAGTTATCTGTTATTAGGTTGATAATTTCGCATTATGGCGGTCTTCTTAGAGTTAGGGCCAACAAAATCACGAAATCTTTATTGGCCATCATAGCTTCTTCTACATTATTTTGAAAAGCACGCACTACCTAACATTCTCAACCGGGATTGTTTGGTAAGTGCAATAAGGTACCGCGGCCTCGGCCTGGAGCAGGAAAAGGAACGGGGGATTTTTAGTCAGTAAGAGGCTACCACTCCCTCTCGCCTTACCGTAGGCGAGAGAAGCCATTTGATTCCCCTCCCCCACCCCCCACAAACACAAAAACAAAACATTAACATTAACATCTAGCGCGGTCAAAAATCAAGGATATATTGGATTTAGCTGTGTTATTTGTCTGGATTTTGACCACCAGTATTACGGAGGTAAGATTAGTTACATAGTTGTTATGCTGGCGAAAACACATTTAGTGAAATCTAGGAATATAAAGGTTGTATTTACTTTATAAATTATAAATTATCGATAAGGAAAATGCACTAATACATGAAAAGTAGAAGGAAAAATCGGTGCTGTAGCGTTTCGCTAAAAAACAAATGACTGAGACCGAGGTAGTTAGAGATAGACTTCCGCGCGAAGTGGGGAGCGGTGTTGCTAGTAAGCAATAAAATTATTTTGAATTATATATTGAAAACAAATGCTCAGTTCAAATACATTTCTGCTGGCGCAACAAACAATCCTTATAGGTTCCAATAACTATGAAATTCAATTCATACACAGGTCTCACAGCCGAAGCTCGCTCAAGCGCCGCCGTACTAGATCGCGCAGCCGACGGCGCGGTTCCACGCAGTCTCCGCCGCGACACCGCGCCAAACATAGGGACGCATCGCCAAGGGACCGACACAGGTATGTTGACTTTTCTATTGTTACATTAATATGGACAGGATTTTGTGTGTAAAAGGAAAACTGTGGTGTGTCTACATGTGTGAATGGGATGGAAGCTTCTAAAGTTCCGAGGAAATTACACCTAGAACTAACCTGGTTTAGTGGTGAATTGGACGGTTGCCGGATTTGCTGGGAAACCGGCTGCTATCAACGTATAGCGGGTTCGATTCCTGCTCGGACTAATTCTCTGTGCGACCCCCAAATAGTTGTTCCGGGTTCAGATAATACGTTTGAAATGACACACAGAAAGACGAAAGAAATATAAAGCTTGTTTCGTTCTATGAACGTTCTAGGAAGATTGCTTAAAGTTACCAGATAAATTTAAAAATATAGGACGAAATTTGTGTGGCCACATAGATATATCTTACTTATAAATGTAAACAAATATATTGATTCTTAGGGTGGTCTAGTAAGCTAGGTTTTTTTTAAATAGGTTCACAGTTGTACAGGCTTTTGCACTTCTTCCAAAAAATCACTCTCTTCAAAAGCTCTCCTGACTCTTCATCCTTGTTCACCATCATCCCATCCAAATTCCAACCTTATTGTAGTGTCTATAGTGTCACCAATCGAATATTCTGTTAGCTTGTTACATTTGTTTGGTTGAAAATATTAAATTAAATATTTTCTATTTCAATCAGACATGGACGACATCATCATCATCGGTAAATACTGTCATTCATTTGTATACCACACACATATTTTATTTCATTAGCCTAAAATTATTTCAATAATATGTTACTTCATCAGTTTTTTTTAAGTTCAGTGTTTATAAATAAATATTTTACTGTTCTCTTATAGTTTTATGAAAACTTGTTCAGCTGTTTCTGAGATTAAAACTAATAAAAAAATACAGTAACGAAAATAAATATGTTTTGTAACTCACTATTATTTTACATTTTCACACAACAGACGCAAGTTCTCCAAGGGTTTTTACATTTAATTATTTCTCATTTGAGAATTTAAGTAAATAAATCATTGTTTCTTATTTCAATCAGACATACTACTCGTACTACTATGGAAGTGGTGCAGGAAGTAATATGGTAATTACACAGTTATTCATACAATTTAAGTAAGGTTATGTTTTATAATTTCCCCGGGTCAGGCAGAGAAATATTCGGGTTTTCGACAAATGCTTGACTACTAGAGCTATATCTGGTAATGAGGTCTGCTGTATTTTAAGATATGATGCCTGAATGGAATTGTATATTTATACAAATAAACTAAGTGTAAGCTTACACCTTACGATAAATTAATTAATAAAATATGATATATATTTTATTAATTAGTATGTATGTGAAATGAGTATCATTGAATATAAATAGTGTAAAAACATACGATATTGCATCATATCACTGTAAATTCTGCACACTCAAAGGCATCAAAATCACAAAACAATTCCTATTCCTATAAAATCACAGAGAGAGACTATGAAGCAAGGGTTCGGTTCAGCGGAGCACAGGGCTTAGTATTAAGGATTGGATTTTTGTAAAAATCCTTGGCATGGTGACTTAATGTGTGACTGGTGAATGCGATTAAGAATCAAATGTGTTACAGTGAATTGCATGCAAATTTTATGTTTGTAAACATATCCGTATTACGGCGCAGGATAACATCCTAGTACGGATGATAAGTCGCTATATGTATCGTTGAATACTGATCACATATTTTCCAATACAGGGTCAAGCATGAGTCGCCCAGTCCCCCGACGATGCTGCAGCGGAAGATAGACTTCAAGGAGAAAATCAGTGACACCAGTCTGTTTGCTGAACTAGTCAAGGACAAACACAAGAGAGCTAAGGTAAGAATATCAAATAAAGTCCCCATTTTTAATCTTCTCCCTTATACATTGTAACTTGTTTGGTATGGACACCTGGTGATGGGCCACCATAAAATTTTGCCGACAATATTTATGGGTATAAAATGCTTAGTTATTTTTGGGTATTTTAATAGGTTAACATGAACATTGAATCTTGTGTCAAAGACACGAGTTTTGAGGATAGCTCTAATCTGGATGTTCTATTTTCATTGAGTAAAGTTATCACTAGAAATTAAGAAGAATGTTGTAAACTTTTGCGCCGTCAGTACGGGTTAGGCATTACAAATGAAAAGCTAGAGAATAGCCAAAAATTTTACAGTTTTCATATTATTCTTTATGCTTTAGAAAATAATTAGATGTATCTTTTAAAATTATTCATCTACAAATTAATTAGAAATAAGAATAACAGATGGATCAGGCTTTCTTGTACTTAACAATGACTTATTTTGCGCTAGCCCCTTTTTTGGCAGATTAAGTTTAGAGAGGGGTATGATTTCATGTAACCTTCTAGGAATAAAAACAACTACTAGAATCGTAGAGCGATAGCGAATTTGTGTAATTTTTGGTTTAGCCTTTGCGATTTTTTTTACAAGTTACGCCATGTTTTGTAACGTGTCAAGTCATAGCTTTCATATCGGATAGTGGTAATAAGATACAAGATCAAATAAGAGTAGTGTAAAAATAAAAATATCTCTTCAGTCTAATTATTATTTAAAGTTACTATGTGCCATAAATATTAATATTAATTTAAATATATTAAATATTTTATTTATATTAAATATTAATATTATTTCTATTACAGAAACTGCAGGAGATATTAAATCAGAAAGAAGAAGAATCCCAGGGCGCGTTGTCGAACACTACATCTATCAATAACCCTGAGATACTTACCATTGATGAACTTTCAAGCAATACTTGTGATAGCTCCACACAGGTCAGCCAAATGTTTTATATTTGTCCAGAGATTTATTTTTTATTTATTCATAAAACATTCCTTAAGTTTTAAAATCACACAATAATACAATTTTAAAATTTCGTAGCAATCCAACAAAGAAAACGGTGAAGCGATACGTGAAGGTGGTGATGTTGTGGACATACCGATGCCGGGTGCGGAGGAGAGTGTTTCGAACCCTCCTCCAGCAGCGCCGTCAGGCCCACCGGCGCCTCCAGCGCCACCAGTCCCGGCAGCCCCAGCAGCCCCGGCGGGCGCGGGTGGGGCGGCGGCGGGCGCGGTCGCGGCCCCCCCGCCGCTGCAGCCGCCGCCGGAGTTCCCGTCGTTCGCGCGCCAGGAGCCGCACGCTGCGCCGCACGCCGCCTCCAACGGGGACGCTCCCCCGCCGCCGCCACCACCCCCACCACCTGTTGAGCCTCCTACTGCTGAGGTTTGTGACAAATATGGAACTAATATGAAACTAATTGAAACGTAAAACCTATTCATTTTCGTCCTGATTTTATCCCAGTCCAGTGACTAGTATTGACAATGTGTTTTTTAATGCATCTTTGATCCTTCAGCCACAGAAATCACGGAGCCCAGCAGTATCATCGCCCCTCCCGCAGCCTCCGCAGCCCCCGCTGCCTCGTGGCAGTGTGGTAGAGGCGGCCTACTACCAGAACTCTCAGCCAGCGCCACAGAAACCCAAGAGTCTCACCAAACTTCCAATGCCGCCTAATACACAGGTATCATCTAACTCCTACATAGTCCTAATAACTTTAAGAAGAAGAAAAGAAGCAGTGGCCATAACTATTTTTGTTAAACCTTGCATGGCAGACAACTTCGAGATTTTAGTTTATATTCCTGTGCCATATGGCGCTTGATGTTTCTGCTTCCTTTTGAGTAATCAAAATATATCAAATATCCAATCCATATGTATGAAAGTATGACTACAAATTTAATTACAATTTACTTGATGTCTCCAATAGTTTTTTGAACTCCCATCATTTTATTAAGATATGTTATTGTTCTTCCAGGTCGAAGACCTGAAGACTTTAGTGAACGAGAGCCCTCTAAGCACGCCTTCTCCATCTCCCGTCAAGAAACCTGAGAAACCCAAGCGCACTGGCATCATGAACCTACCGATGCCACCTGGTAAGTATCTCTATCGGATACTTGTTTTGATGTGATCATTTTTGAGGTAAAATACCCAGGTAACTTTAAATATTTTATGTACAGTTTTACTGCATGTTGATTGAAAAGAGAATGTGAAGTGTTTAAAGTTGACTTTTACAATAAGTAACTTTATAAAAAAAACTAACAAATTAATACTAATCTTTGTGAGAAGTGTTTGTATACCGCTTTTTTTATAACAAATGTGTTATGTAACTAACTTTGGGACAATATAATACTAACGTTAAACGTTAAAATTACCGGCATTACAGTGATTCCGGGATCGGAGGAATTGTCAGGCGACGAGCTCGACGGGGGCACGCCGCCGCCCGCCTCGCGCCGCGACCAGTACTCGCATGTCTTCAGTAACAGGAAGCATGCTAGGGATAATGTAAGTACTCATTTCATCTTATTGACAACATTTTGACTGTTATTTAAGGCACTTGAACGTGACAATGAAAGGGTGAAACGAACTTAGAATATGGTAAAATATTCATAAAATCTTGTAATTGTATTTGACAGTCTGGTTCGAAGTTAAAGAGGCCGCGCATCCTGAAACGCCGCGGGTCCAAGGTGGTGCCCGTGGCAACACCTACGCATCACGCGAAGGACTGGGGCGAGAAGTGCGTCGATGGCTTCCAGGTAGATAGTACTTCCTATCATTTCTTTTTTGTTATTCTATCATCAGTCAGTCACGAAACGCTACTGAACAGAATATAGGACTAACCCAATGACTTCGAGATCCGCTGGCTAGAAGATCTGTTCCAGCTTCTCACTGTAACCTTGTTTAGGTCCATCTTGAGGTCATTCTGACATTTTTATCTATACACTCACAACATAAAAAACCTGATTTAGTTCAAACAATTAAGTACAATAAAATAAACTAATATGCTTCAGGTTATCACCCAAATCGGCGAAGGCACGTACGGCCAGGTGTATAAAGCACGAGATAAAAACACAGGACAGCTTGTTGCGCTCAAGAAGGTGCGCCTTGAGAACGAGAAAGAAGGGTTCCCCATCACAGCTGTGCGGGAGATCAAGATATTGCGCCAACTAAACCATAAGAACATCGTTAATTTACGGGAAATTGTCACTGATAAACAGGATGCTATGGATTTCAGGAAGGTTAGTTCTGAAAATTATTATTTAATGTATTCTAACACATAATGCTTAATTTAAATATTACCAATATTTTTGAAATTTTGCCTATGCAGAGGAAATGTTTCATTTATTAATAATATCATTATGTCTTCTTATGTTCTACTAAAATCTTCAATCTATTCCAGGACAAGGGCTCATTCTACCTAGTATTCGAGTACATGGACCACGACTTGATGGGTTTACTGGAGTCCAAAATGGTGGACTTCACCGAGTCTCACAACGCGTCTATAATGCGTCAACTACTAGACGGGCTGGCATACTGCCATAGGAAGAACTTCTTGCATCGGGACATCAAGTGCAGCAACATACTGATGAACAATAAGTGAGTTTGTATTTATTTTAGTTGTTTGTATTTTCTTTTGAGTTGTACCCTTTAAGAAAAGTGCTTTAGTGAAACTATGGCTTTTGTCGATGGGGAATTTAATGTTTATCAGATGCCAATTCTTATTCTGCCAAGACAAGTAATCACCTCTAATCTAAAGTCAGGAACAGCAGACAAAGCAAAACTCTCTTTGTACGGGTTTTCTTGCTACATACAATTGTGATTTTTTCCGCCGTATCCTATTTCTCTACTTCACATATTGGTTTTTAAGTGATTTGTGTATTATTTACTCACGTAAATTTTCTACCAGGGGTGAGGTGAAACTGGGCGACTTCGGTCTGGCGCGGCTATGGTCCGCAGAGGACCGGGCGCGGCCTTACACTAACAAAGTGATCACGCTCTGGTACCGCCCGCCCGAGCTACTTCTGGGCGAGGAGAGATATGGGCCCGCGGTGGATGTATGGTCCATGGGATGCATACTCGGGGAACTCTTCCTCAAACACCCACTGTTCCAGGTAAAAACATTGACCCTATATTTGTTTTACTAACTAATATTTTTACTATAGCTTTACACTGAAGAGAATAAGTAAGATTATGTTTTTATTTTCTGATACATTACTATCAAAGAGCATGAGCAATAGTTGAATTTGTATTTTTAATTTAAGAAAAAAGATGGCCAATGGCCTTGCCACGTCTAATTTTTTATTTAAAGTTTCATCTTATACAGCCATAAGAAGAAGGACCATAAGGTCCAGTTCCATTTTGGATTGTTAAATGGGCAAAATGTGTTAAATTTTACGCCTTTGCTTTGCCATAATTTTGCAAGAATAATCATATATGACGCCTTCTTTTACATGCCATTTTGTATTTTAGGCCAATATGGAGATGATGCAGCTGGAGATGATATCCCGGGTGTGCGGGACCCCAGTGCCCGGAGTATGGCCCAACGTAGTGAACCTGCCCCTATGGCACACGCTGCGGCCAAAGAAGTTCCACAAGCGATGCGTGCGGGAACACTTCGCCTTCATGCCCCCGCAGGCACTCATCCTACTTGACAGGATGCTAGAGTTGGACCCCGACAAGAGGATCACCGCCGAGGATGCTCTGAAAAGCCCCTGGTTGAAGAATGTGGTGCCAGAGCAGTGAGTTGTTTGACTTTGTTTGTTTGGCTTGGCACCGCAGGCGCGATGATCACTAACGATACCGTTACTGATGATCTTAGGCCAACAGAGCCTAGTTGCCAAGTTCAATGTAGTAGTAGCACTTGAGTTTTTGTGCGACATGTAGCAGGTTCGATTCCTGCTACACTACTACTAATTTGTAGAAACCGTATAGACTGACACTAACATCACTAACATATGTTATGATAGCTCATTTTAATATACAATTTTGATCGATCTCATTATTAAATAAATATTGAATTGAAATAATATGAATGAAGTCTTACTGGCAAACTGGCAAGTATGAAAGTACCGAGGGGATTGTCATTGAATACCACATTTGTTGTGAATGGTTACAGAATAACCCAAGTGATATTAGATTATACTCTTATAAACTTTTTATAAATATTTATGCATCCCATTTTTGTGTGTTAGTTATAAGCTTTCATCATTTATCATCCAATCACCTGTATATGTGACATTGTATATTGTGTATCATGGCAGCGACTGAATGCGACTCCAGAACATATCATCATCACCCATATCTATATCCGCATTAGCAAATTTTTCGCGCAAAAATTACCACAGCAAGGTTTACTGTACTACTTTACTCATTGATGATGAACCACTACCAACCGCTTGAATCAAGTCGAATGCATGGCTTTTCCAATAACATGGGATGATGTATGATACTATGGACACCAAGATGTCATGAGTGACTGATTTTAGAATTAAGTAAAGGTTTGCGCAAAGGAATTTCTTTTTGCGCCATCCCTTGCGCAAAGTAAGACGCACCAGAGCGCAAATAGCGCAGAGTAAGTTTCGAATAATTCCTTTGCGCATGCTTCGTAGTGCCTGGTAAATAGGTTGAAATGTGTTAGGGTAAAGACCTAATATGCTAACTTATCCCTATAGTTATACCAGTTGGGATTATCAAACCTCGTGAGTATTGATTATATGTATATTGTTCAAACATTCAGGTTTACTTTTTTTTATTTGCGATCTGTTTCTGACTGGCTATGAATATATAAATAAACCCTTATGTGGAGTGAATGAGTGTAATCATGTGGAAATATAGGTGTCTCATCCAGCTATATTATTTCAGGACCATTATATGGTCCATCAATAAATTCCTAGAAACAGTTGGTTCTTACAAGGCAATGGGGCTCTGAAATATTAATTGCCAAACTGAATAGCGTGTGTCCTCATCTAAAAAGAATAACAAGTTAATTGTTTCTCCCGAGGATTGTTTGCTATCTACTACAGCATTCACAAGTCTACCAGATAGTTCGACCTCTTCATGCTTTGCGTATTTCTATGTACTTAACTAGATATAGAATTAATTTAGCCAATCACTTTCCAGGATGCCCGCGCCCGAGCTTCCTACTTGGCAGGACTGCCACGAGCTGTGGTCCAAGCAACGCCGGCGGCAACAACGAGAGCAAGACCACACCCAAGGCAAGAAGCCTTACGGCTACTCAGAAGACAAAGACCAACCTAAAAATGACAACCAAGACTACAAAAGTGAGCCTTATAAATCTGAAAGTGGTTTCAAGCCTACCGAGCCCGCGCAAGAGGCTGTGGGACAAGTGAAATAGTACAGACTACATTGTAAAAGATACTTTCGTAAAAGAAAGAAACGGTGCTTATATTAGACCAATTGACTATGTGATCTAGTTTAACTTGTTGCCTGTGGAGTGTCGTGACGATGTGTGGGTTCCGTGCAAGTGCGGTAATGTGCCTAGTCTAATATTTAGCTTCAATCTCATGTACGATTAGCTCGTAAGGTGAAGGCTGTGTTCTTCAAGAAACTTTAGCACTATGCTATGCTTCTTGCACAATTTACGAATATTCAGTACAAAATTTAACAACCACATCTCTGACCTTCTAATGTGGGATTTCAGAGTGGTTAATCTGAATAGACTTTAATTAGTATATCATTATTAAATTGAATCTTATCAAAATTGAATTTAGCCAAGTTTGTGAAGGTGCGGAACCCTGTGTAGCAATTTAATTTATTGCGTTGTGTGTAACGCGTACCAAAACGTATGATATATGTAGTAACCAAAGTATCGCATAGCGCTAGTTACCTCGGACGGATGTCAGGCGTCCTGTGCATATGTTTGTAAATAATGTAAACTAGAATAATTTTAAATAAGAACAGTTAATTTTATTTCAATTTTAGCAAAACATTTTGTTTTATTTTTGTTAAGAATCCTTGTGAGTGTAGCAATAATGTTTGACGGTTGGCAACACTACTTTATTTCTCTAATTATGAAACTGGTAAACTCACAGTTCCCTGCCAAACCGGATGAAGCACTAGGTGCCTTAATACAGCAGAGTACAAAGTGATCTCTTATAAACATTCTTCTTGCCAATGTTTCTCCCCTATCTGGTTGGCAGTTTGTTCCCTTAAACCATAAGGTTGCCAGGAAAATATAACCGAATTCGTGTTGCCAAAATTAAATGCAGGATAAAGTTAATTATCCCTACTTCCACTATGTAAGACCATGTGCGCCTTATATAAATCAGAAAAAGTCCAATAGAAACTGCCATTTAGCGTAAATATTGGGAAACACCTACTGTTTGAATAGCGAAATACAATATTGAATATAGTAGAGATTTGATACAGCTGACACTTAATTTATGGATATTTGAATCTATAAATAAAGTAACGAGAATTTGCTATTGCAATATGTATGCATTACTTATATTCAGTATAATATACAGGGTCGAAGGGACAACGTGGCTTTAAACTCAAGTTTTTAAATTCTATAGGATTCTGAATTCCTCAGTTCTTATAATCAAGTTGCTTTTTAGGAAAATCATACATTCTAAATAATATATATTTATATACCTACCTATATCAAAATAACTTTAATAGAATTTGCGATTATAGTCCTACTAGAGATGCATCATATCTAAGATAGAAAGAGATAAATAAGTGGAATAAAGGTGTAGAGTGAATGAAATATTTAATTATTACAATAAAAGGGCTTGTAGAAGCTGTAATTGTATAGGGACACTAGTCCACGATGTTTCATGTATCCTTCATTTGAATTAAATAATGTTATGATTTCTGATAGACAAAAGTATTTCCTAAGGACTTACCTCTGTGCAGGTTTCGATATTTGTCATAGTTTTTATACTTTTCAATATACTAAGAGCTGAAAATAGTGAAGTGATTAGCGTATCGCTATCTCTGTCATTCTTGTTTGCTAGTCGCATTCTCTTACAAATTAATCGTGTCCAGCAAGTTAATGTTCTATGTTCTTCAAAATATGGCACTTTGGGTGTTGACTTTTTAAATATAAGACGTTATAAGACGGGAGTCGTGTGATTGTGTATATAATGGAATTGAGTTGTTTTCATGTTTCGCGTAATTTTATATATTTAATGTTAGGTTCTTGTTGGGTCTCGATCTTGTAGGTGATTTTGGGCGATATGGATAATGTGGTAGTATAACAAAAAACTCAATGGAAATGACAAGTGTTATGAACAAAGCGGCAAGTCCGAATTTCAATAAAATATTTATTTAAAGTATTTAACACTTAAATTATTTTGAAAAGATCAATATTTTAATTGCTTGTTTGTATTTAATATGTTAGTTGTAATTCGACGATGTGTATTCATATCGCTCTTAATTCGAATATTAGGTCCTAACTAGCAATAATATCGGACCCGACTTAGTTGGCATTTATATTATATAAGCGTGTATGTATATTCGTGAGTTCCAAGCGCCTTCCAGGGCTATATGCATCTAGTAAATATAATAATAATATATATCATGTTGTTTGTTCACAAATATTATGATCAGATGTAAAGGTTATCGTTAGGAGCAGCGTTATTTTTTTAAAACAATTGTCTTGTAAATAAGCGTACGTCCTAAAGTATATTGCGTTTTCCAACAACGTATCTTCCATGAATTAGTTGTGTATATAGAATAGAATATATTTCCCTGCATTTTAAAAACGATATTGTTTTCTTTAGTCAAGAAAGCGAAAGTTTGCACTATAAACTTGGTATTTAAATGAATGTACTGATAAATAAAATAAATACATATATCTTAGATGGATCTAGCTTTTGTTTAACTACTTTACTGTACATAATATATTATGTAAATGTGACATTATCTATATAAATATTTAAAATATGTAAAACATATAATAATCACGGTGTAAACTTTCGCTTATCCTGATCCAGGTATCGGTTGCTAAGTCGCCGATTGAAAGACTAAGTTTCCTTGTATTATACTAGTTGTAAGACCACGATGTCCATCGTGAATAATCCGGAGTTTCGGAGATAATCGTCGTTTTTTATACTTTGTATGGTGTGCTTATGGGACGATAGTTTGATGTTATACTTTGTAATTATGTAGGTAGCCGGTGATTCGAGTTTTTGACAAATTATGATGGACATTCTGACTTAAATTTTTGTTCTCCGTCCAGATAAACTGGTATTATGTGCTGTATGGATGGAATTAAGTATCTTGCTATTTGATCCGTTTATTTCTATAAAGTTTTCAATACAATTGGAATTGAATCAATATTGGAAGTTTCTTTAAGTGTTGTTCACTGGTGTTTTTTTTAAAGTAAGACTGAAGTAGGGCGGGATCAGGCGATTGTCTGTCACTGTAACTCTGGATTGTTGTTATCACATTTTATGATAATAATAATTGTAAAAATGTACCTAATGTTTTTTTAAATAATTATACTACGATGAAATATGATTTTTGCATATTATTTCTCTAAAAATCATAAATAACTCTGTTTCTTTTGAAAAGATGCAAGGTTGAGGATTGAAAGTGTCTATATATTTTATTAAAATACATTTATTTAAAAATGACTGAAGGAACTGGCTTATACAAACAAGGCACTTTTAGCCTGTGTACCTTAATATGGCCATTTGAGGTCTATTGCTCGCACGCACTTTCCTGGTTACGATTAGACACGATTTAGGTAATATTAAAATACTAATATATACCATATCCTAGTTCCTGTTCACGTTGCACGCACCAATATGCCGTACAATAGACCTCAAGTTCGTAATTATGTTATAGAAAGCAATAGTCTTACTCCATCCAAGTGTTTCAGACCACGCCAAGCATTTATCTTAATTTTACAAATACATTCATTGTAACATTAATTCAAATTGTTTCCTTATAGTAGGCACCTTTGATTCAGCTTAATCATCATTACAAACAAAGGAAATGTGTCAATTATCTAAATATTATCATTTTATTACATTATATTAGCGCCTGTCTTCATAACCATGTTAACAATATGTCACAAAATTTGGAAAATAAAAATACCTTTGGTATATAACGACTAAACTTTGATATTTTAGCTAGGAAACATTTTAGACTTATTTACAAAATTGCCCTTTAGGGGATTTCATGATTTCTTACACATTTATGTAACAATAATTGACACATTTCACGCGATACCTAATTTGTATGGCATACAAAAAATACTAAGTACTTTGTACGAAAATCTCATGAACATTATATCACATTTAATACATAAAAACTTTATTAAACTGTTATATATTAATAACACTTCCATATACATATTATTTCATTTATAAATACGTGTAAAAATTGTAATTTTTCTGTTCAATTAAGCACAACATTTATGTAGGTTCAGCTCAAAATGGGTAAATCTAACAATCATCAATATATGCGTACTTAATTATACAGGTGTAAAATAAAATGGATAAAAAATAAGTACGAAACATTAAATAAACATAATTTTTAAACTTACACTTCTCTAGACGTTTGTTCACTTCAATACAAAGTTACCAACTTTATGTATTACTTATACATGTGCCTGCTATGGTGAAACGCAGGAAATTTTCCGTAACAAATAGGAAAAATGAAGATTTTAAGGGGATTGTATGGCTTATTTCAGGTAGGTATTGCTATTTACAAGCAGGCGCATTACATTGGTACTAACAATAAATACTATGCAGTACAAAATGGAATAGTTGAAGTTAATTCTAAGTAACGTCGTTGTTGTAGTTTCTTGCAATACTGGTATCTGCTCAGGGAGTTGCGATCTGAAAGAAATTATCATAAAACATGTTACACAAGAAAATATAGGACGCCAAACATCATAGGACACAAAAAGCTTTAAAACCTGTCAACAGTAGCACATTCTTACTTTTTGAAAGCAACTATTATTAGTATTTTTGTAATAATACTTACAACGAGCAGGTTTCCGCTCTTGGCGCGGTGTATGTTGGCCTGCGGACCGTTCTGCACCTCGATGGTGCCGCCCTGCTTACCATTCACCAGGTTATGCGCGATGCTGTGGACGCCGAGAAAAATATAAGTCAAAAACATACACTTACTAAAGATAAAAAAGGCAGTGCTTCAATATAACTATGAATATGTCTCCAAAATTCTAGGTTTTGATAGAATAATGCTCGGCCGCTGCCATTCAGTTGCATTTTTGGAATTCTAACTAAGTAATATGAAGTGTGAAAACTTACGTCCTGGTGTCGACGATCTCAATAAGTTCGGGTTTCTTGGTGTAGTCGGTGACGATGGTCAGTGCCTCAATCAGGTGGGATACGGAGATGATCAGGTCACCCTGAAATATTAAAATTATGTAACTAAATACTTTTTTTATGTCAAAGGTTGGAAAACGAGCTGATGGATTACTTGATGGTAAGCAATCGCTCCAATCATAGATTACAAAATAGTTACTAACTTCGGTCGAGGCGACCCATTCGTGATGAAGCATGGCTCTCACAGACTTAGTAATGTCTTAATACCGATTGCTTTGAAATTAAAAGTTGGTGGTAGTGCTTTACCTTATTAGAGGCGCCATAAGGCATCAAAAGATTTATATGTTATATCATTATTTAAAAAATTAGCTAGACTAGTTATTTGACTAAGCTGAGAAGTAAACTAAGTTCCATACCTTATCCTTCTTAAGTTCCTGCGGTATCTTGATGAGTACGAGCGTGTCGGTCTCGTTGGTGACGACGACGCGCAGTTTGTCCAGCGGCAGGCGGTGCTTGAGTTTGTACGTCTTGCGTCCGGCCGCGTCCAGCACGTACAGCGCCTTGTCCGACGCCAGCAGGGCGCGCTCGCGGGGCTTGTAGCCGCGACGGTCGTACTTCACTGCCTCGCATGAGTACTGGTGACGGACAGGTTTCGTTAGAGATAGAAATTCCAATGATATTTTTGGAGACCAGTTTAAGGTAGGTACCTATCCAAGATTATCTTACTCACTTCCAATGTATCAGCAGACAAAACGGCTTTCGATTACGCGGCTCTCTTAGCTCGAGAGAATAAGCAAAAAAATATTTTGTGGTCGGTAATTTTAGTGTGTGCAAGATTAATAAACTGCATCGATCTCCACTGTTAAACTTTCCAGATGTTTCCCGCGCGCCTTACAAGATTCAATCCCACTTCTCAATAATTCAGTAGTGCGTAACTTACAATTAGCTGTTCACCAGTGGGCCAGGAAGGTGACGCCATGAAGGTATTCCTGAGGGTCTGGTGTTCTGATGTCAGGCGATCATCCTGGAATCGTTCGCCGACACTGGCTGGATAGCTGTTCTTTTTGCCTGCAAAATTTAAGCCAACGTTAGTCAAAAGTCTATAGGTACTTAAAAAATTAGGAAAGCTAGGAATTATCGTGTAAGCATCATAAGACCTAAAGCGATACTAGCGCCAAAGGAAAATCGTTTAGAATCTGGTATTTTTGAGTTTAGACATTTTCTGCTTTTCCTCTTTTAACTATTTATGCTATAGTCCTTTCTTAAAAACGCGCTTCTAACATAGCCAAGTGCTTAAGTGGAAGAAGTACTTACAGTACTTGGCATAAAGACTTGTAAGTAAGTACTAAAACTATGATTTAAAGTGATACTGACCCTTGAACATCTTCTCAGCGAGTACTTTAAGCTCGAACTGCTTCTTGGCTTGGGGCGTGAGTGCGAGGCGGTACTTGCGCGCGAGATGGGCGCGATGCAGACGATGCAGCTCGCGCGAGGCGTCCTGGCAGGTGGCGGGGCAGGGCGGCCACGACAGGTCCAGCACCTTCGTCGGCAGCTGCGTCGCCAGGCGCTTCAGCCAGTGCACCTTCGCGATACCCAGGAAACGACGGTTCTCTGGAGTCTCCGGACCGTTGCGGGTGATAAAACCTGGTTCAGGAAGGAAAAGTTTTATTGTTGCGTTTTAATGTATCAGAATTTAACTTCAAGTATGTAAATGTTGATGGTAATATAAAAAATGGTCTTAATATAATCTGACTGCACGATTGGCGCGGTGGCTGGACAAATGGCTGTTACGCAACATGTGACGGGTTGGATTACTGCACAACTCTTTGTGTGATTTACAAATTGTTCCGGGTCTTGGTGGTTTGTGTACCTATGTGAAATCGTGTGTTTGTAAACGCACCCACGACATAGGAGAAAATCCTGGTGTGGGGCAACGTTTTTTGAAAAACAACTTCGAATTAAATTTGAATCAAAATGTCCCTGCGAAATGGTTGTAAATATATCAGAATTCAAGTTTAAGTAATTTGTCTTGGTAATATAAAAATGTGGTAAGACCACATCTACTCTTTATTGGTAGATATTTCACCTGATCATAATATTTCTGCATGCAATATTATTATTATAAGAATATCCTACCTTTGATAAAAGCCCTGATGACCATCGCGGCCTTCTTTCTCCTGGCCAGCAGCCTCTGAGCGAGGAACCTTCGCACCCACTTCTGTATGATGATGGCCGCCTCGCGCATCTTGAGGTACTGCTTCCTCTGCCAGTACCCTCGCCACCTGCTCTGGATGATGGTCGCGATGTCGTTCTTCTTGATCTGGTAAGCGTCTTCAGTCTCGAACAGAGTCTTCGGGAATCGGATGAAGATTTTCGTGCTGGAAATTTGGTGTTGGTTTTATAGTCGGTACTTGTAATTGGATGGGTATCTACTGCTAATGGTAAACCTACTACACAAAAACCAAATTTTTATACTTTATATTTTTGGTAACACTAAAAAGAATTGTACACTAAGATTCGATTATATAACAAATTTATAGAGTAAAATCATTGACTAAGCAAAGCATACAATTATTCGGCTTGCATGAATGTATAATCTTGCACCATTACCTGTCAATTACCTACATCATCTATATGGTCTGGTGGTCTTTAAGTCTTTTAGTATTTTAAAATCGCTAGTAAATATCGACTTTGGCAAATATTGTAGTGTGTACTCACTTGCCCATCCTGTAGTCCTCTTTCTCGAAGTTGAGTACCTCGACCAGTTTCTGCACGCCATCTCGCGGGGCGCCGCGGTAGTTGGGCCATGTGTCGCGGGATAGGCACTTGTATCTGAGTGAAGGAAGATAGTTTATAAAGATTATTGTAAAATACCTTTTTTAAAACCGCATCAAAATTGGTTCAGCTAATCACGAGATAATGCGAATAAATATACATATAGGCCAAATTGAAAAGCCCCTTATTTTTTTGAATCAGTTAAAAAATTACATAATTATTATAAGAACTAGATGCTACTGTAAGCCTTAACACATTAAACCTGCAATAGTAACCTACTACTAAAGAAAAATAATGTTGAAATAGTTCCAAAGAATCTTGCATTATGTGTGATGTCTTTAAAACTGTCCCTACATTTTCAGAGCCTAAAAAAACTATTTTACAATGCTCAAGGCTATTAAAATGTTTTTGACTATACAGCAGTTATTGTTACCTCTCAAGGAAGGCCTCGTAAGTTCTCCTGTACGCGAACCCAGCTCGGCGCACGCGCAAGTTCTCCATCAGACCGAGGTACTTCACTTGGTGAGACACTAGCTTGTCGTCAAATTGCACTGGAACAAAATGTTATTGTTAGATTGATTCATTAAACAGAGGATATTTTTTTATTTGAAATTTGGATAAATCATTACACAAGAAACTATATGTATATTGTTTGGTTTCCCTGGTCCTGTAATCCCTGGTCTGCCGCTACGTAGATCTAAGCGAGACACAAAGCATTTTCTATTTTTGTCTCATACTAGCAGATAAGAGGTTAATATTTGCCTCTTTAGAGAAAAGTCAACGTTATGATCTTCTGTATTGGGTTTAAAGTTAATAATACAATGAATTGTGTACTCACTAGGAGCCTTAAAGTCATTAGGCTTGATGCATCGGATGTAGGAAGGCTCCTTGCTGCTCAATATCTTGATCAGTTCGTTCAAAGAGTTCTTGAACTGAGTGATCGCTGTCTCTGGTCGCTTCTTGCTCGCTAGGTTGATGTCCTGGGGATAATATGTTTAGTTAACGTTACTTAGGTATTTTCTAAGAATAGCCACTAAAATAGACTATTAAATTTAGATTGGCATATACGGTAATTTGTTGGCACATTTTGTGCCTATTTCCGATTAATAGAATGTTTGAGACGAAAAAATGCATAGATACTGTAGTTACCAACTAATCAAATTCAATCCTTTCACCCAAATGTCTAAAACGATAGGTACTTTTCTATGAAATTTGTATGAAGCTCCAAATTTTGACGTCAAATAGCTTTAGGTGCTTCTTTCTTAATTTGGCTAAAATATACCAAAAATTTTGTGTATCGACAGAACGATGAATAAAATTACCTATTTATTTTTCAATATTTTGTTGTATTGTAACGTGGAAATAATTTATTTTTGACCTAGGAAACTACCCAATTGTGGGTAGGTATGGGTTGAAATTACTTAAAAGGCTACGTACCTTGAAGCAGCTGGCGACGATGGTGTTCCCGCTGGTGGCCATGAGGCTCTGTATGTCTCGGAAGAGCAGGTCGTTGTTCTTCTCCAGGAAGGTGTTCACATTGTACGTCACCTCGCCAGCGTAGTGCACTAGGCAGAACTCCTGCACATCGAGACAACAAACAATAATAAGATTAATTTGAACTAGCTTCTGTCGCGCGGTTTCACTCGCTGCTCGATTCCTACTAATTGTAGCGTGATGTTTTATAGCTTAAAGCCTTTCTCGATAAATGTACTAACAAAAACAAAGAGAATTATTCAATTCGAACCAGTAGTTCTGGAGATTAGCGCGTTTAACCAAACAAACTCTCCAGCTTTATAATATTATAAAGTATAGATTTAAAAATATTACTAAGCTCTGAAGAATGTCCGCCACTGACGGATTTCAATAGGCGCACCACATCCATTTTTATATCATTGCGGGATAAGCGCAATGAGGCACCGCGAGTTCGGCCTAGAGCAAGAGAAGGAACGGGGGGGTTTTCAGTCGGTAAGAGTCTGACCAATGACGATGTGGTGAAATCCTCTTAGAGTCTGACACTTCCTCCTGCCCCACCCTGAGCGAGATCAGACATTTGATGATTTTCCCCTCGCAAAAAAGGGCTCACCCACACTACCACATATACACAATAGCCACATTGAATTCGACACAACAAAAACTCTTACAGGGTGTGATTAATTCAAAATGATATTTTGTTGGTCAATAGTTTTCTTTTTATAACTTTTTTATTAATGGTATAAGTCGGCAAACGAGCAGACAGATTCCCTGATGGTAACACAGCAACACCAAATGAGTTACGAGGGCGTTGCCGGCCTTTTGGGGATAGGGGTTGCGGATAAAAGGAACGGGAAGGGATAGGAGAAGGGGAGGGATTGGGCCTCCGGTAACCTCACTCACACGGCGAAACACAACGCTGGGTTGTTTTACGCCGGTATTCTGTGAGGCCGTGGTATCACTCCGGTCGAGCCGACCCATTCGTGGCGAAGCTTGGCTCTCCCACACTTGAGTCTATGTTAACTATTTAGTGTAAATAAGTTTTATTCTTAAACTAAATAGAATGAAATAATAATGCACAGACCTTACTCGGTAACCACAGGGTGTAATAATCCACAAACGTTCACTATTTCGAATAATAGAAATATCAATGCACCAATGCACCAAAAACCTCTAACACTAATGACGTATCGTTTCAAAGGTAACTTAGTTATGACTAAACATTAAACATCGTCAGTGGGTATCAAATAGAATTCAATCTAATTACAATACTGTGAAAGCATTGTAAAGAAACCATTGTTTACCATACAGATGTAGGTACTGGTACTATAAGTTATGTTATGGCGACCCATTCACATATTACAACATTATGATTCATTGATTTTAAGGATAGAAGTAACTAAATACCTACCGGCTAATGTTATATTTTAGATAATATAATTAGTTACAGACTTCATGGTCGAAGAAAAAAATTTTAAGATACTTAAATACAATTTGGCTTCAGAAATCTTCTATTTCAATTAGACCATTACATGTACTTTTGAAAGTCAAAGGTTAGAAATGAAACAGTCATGTAAAAATATCGGTCGGTCAGTCCTCTTAGCGAAGCTACTTGTTCATTCCTTAGTGTAAATTCTAATAGAGAAGAACCAGCAAAAATCTCAATGGTTGCTCTTATTCAATTAGTTTGTCAACCACATTCTTATAAAGTTGGTTGTTCCATTATAAAGTTGGTTGCAATAATTATGTGAGAACAGTATGACACATATTCAGTCAAAATTTTCACCGAAATTACAAAGCTTAAAGATAAATAAAACGGACGAACAAAAAGAAGGCCAAGAAACGAAGAACCGCTAGACTAACCACTGTGTCATGTAACAGTATCCTACGACCATTTTTATTATACATATATTACATGCTAGCGGATCCTCTCCGAAAACCCCCACATATCAAATTTCAGCGAAATTGTTAGGACCGTTTTCGAGATCACATTACCGCCATCTGCCGGGCTGATTTGTGAATCTAAACCAACCAGGATGACATCGCCACTCAAACGCATACAAAAAAAAAACATTTAAATCGGTCAAGGCGTTTAGGAGTTCAATGACATACACACGTAGGTACGGCAGAATTATATATATAAAGATTTATAATTTCAACTTCAGTAATTACTTTATACGTGTGTCAATTAATTTGCTTCTAAATTTTCAAAACACATTCTTATTCATCACATAGTTAAATTCTTAATGATATTTCGTAAACACGCAAGTCTGTCATCATTCCCAACGCATATCTACAATTGCTATTTAGAATATAAATGTATTTACCAAGTGGGTCGGAGCCTTGTTTTAATGACAACTTGAGGACGCATGATAGAAGTCACCATTTTCCTTCTTGGCAAGACGTTTTAAATTTAAATTGTTTACATCCTTCAAGACTTACGAGGAAGGTTTTTGAGTTACAACAAATAAGTTTGTAGTCATCAATTGATTGACTCATATTCGTGATAGGGAATTTTGCTTAATTACTTAAGCATTAAGAATATGAGTTTTTCATTTTCTGGAGCCAGATGATCCAGCCTTTCAACAAAGCGCTGTGACTTACCAATTTGCCTACAAATTTTTTTTTTCGCTGTCCGTTAGTGTCGGTTGTAAGGGAGTCTGATAAGGTAAGATGGGTCCTTTAAAGACACCAAAAACTACCGAAATGATTTTAGAAAAAAATCTGTGACTATCTGTTAAGTGTATCTGCGTAACCATCTCTAAAAGATTGGTGACGATATCGAATCCAAAAAACGCCTTAGATTCCCCCCTTTTTTAGAACAATTTGAAAGACTCACATCACATCACATCATCGTCCTATAAGTGAGCAAAGGCCTCTTCGCACACGGAGAAGGTTTGAGCATTGTATTGATTGGTGATATCAAACTCATAATTAGAAATGGCATTGCTCCCTATGTTTTTATTTACCGTTTGTCAAAGGAATCTAAATACATTTAGAAAAAAGATCACATAAGAATTAGAAAAAAAACATATTGGTACTTCCCAGGTCTCGAACCCTCATACATGAGAAACGGGTACCTTAACCTATTTTAAAGGTTAGGTACAAAAATATGGTCATTTTGGTGAGTAGGTACTTACATCACGTCCCATGATCTTCTGTGTCTTGATGTCAGAGCGGCGATGTGACTTGTAGTGAGGGTGCGGCTCCAGGTTCTGCGTCAGCTTCTCCAGGAAGCTCAGGTCGGTGGCATCTCCCGGCCTTAGGCACTCATCGTCCAGGATCGCGATTATACCTGGAAATAATCATAATATTTCAAATTTTTTATTAGAGTTAAAAAATGGGGCAATGCCCACTGCGGCTCAAATGGGCTGGCTCGACTGGATTGATACCACGGCCTCAGAGAAAATAGGCGTTAAACAAGCTCAGCTTTGTTATGCCCTGTAAGTGAGGTTACCATAGATCTAATGTTTTCCTTTTCCCCTAATGCCTCCAAAGCACTAGCAACGCACTTGTACCTAACCTATCTCTCAGATTTTTAGTAATGCTGAAATTGTGCCCAGTAAATATACGGTAGGCTCACCGTATTCATGAAAGTCATAATAAAAGTCGGAAATTCAGTGTTACTTAGAACACCTATTGAGTCAATGTTGTAGTCTACTTTGATGGGATTTAATAGTGTTACTATTTCCGTACCAGTGTGCCTGGCCTCAATGAGGTCACAGATGACGATGTTGTTGAAGTACTCGACGGGCTCCCACTCGATGCCCTCGCGCAAATACTCCTCCTGTTCTTGCTTCAGCGTCAGCTGGATAAACAGCTGCTGCAGCTTCTCGTTACAGAAGTTGATGCAGAACTGTTCGAAGCTGTCAAAGAAAAGTTAGGTTACAAACATTTTTTAACTATACACTCTCTTATGATTGACGAAAAGTAATTCTGTAGTTACATTTTCCAATTTTAATTAGAAAACTTTACTATTCCTGCTTTTCCCAAATTAAAGTAAGATCGATAATATCTAGTACCCAGCTTTATTGACCGACAAGTTTACTTTGTTTTTTTCAAAAGTGCCCATTAAAGAATTAATAAAAATTAAGACTAGTTTTCATAAATATTAGCTTCTGCCAGGAGTTTCACCCACACTGCCATGTTAGAAACTACATAGCTTATCTATCTGTAATTCCAGAAAATCTATCTCTGTGTAAATTTTTGTCACATTCGTTTAATAATACTCACGTGTAAGAGTAACAAAAATCCATTTGCAAATAATATTAGCAGGATGAATGTAATGAATGTACAGTTTTGCCTTTTTGTGCGAACTTGTTGCAGATAGCAAATTAGCAAATCCATTCAACTTACCTATTCTTAGGGAAGATTTCAAATCCGTAGATGTCCAGAATACCAATGACAGATGACCGGCTGTCCTTGTCCTTAGGTGCTAAAGAGGCGTTCAACCTGGAGACCAGCCAGCTGAAGTGCTTGTCGTAAATGGCCTTAGCAAGGGCATCTCTGGCGTATTGCGCCTGTTCCAGGTCTAGAGGAGTGCAGACAACATCCCCACGTGCGCTGATCGTACGGCTGGTGAGTGCTTCTCTTAATTTTATGCTGTCCACTTTAAGGAGCTGTGGAACAAATTATTTAGTTTTTAGACGGTGTTTATTAGTGTGTTTTAAGTGATTTGAAACTTGAGTTTGCCATTTTGCTTCGTCCTTTTTATGTAAATTAAAGTTTTTCATGTCGAAGTTACACCTATTGTTATTTGATTTCATAAAATTTAGTATAGCGACAAATGTAATGTATGTCGGTCACCGGTGACCTACGGTAGTGGAGGATATGCCTTCAATAGTTCTTGGTCGGCAGTCAAAGGCTTAAGAATTCACTGAACAGTAAAACATACGTCATAAAATGATCGTATGTTATAAAATGCATATAATGTTTACTATCCAAAATATAATAATATGAAGGGATATTACAAAATGTCCTACAATACTACATACATCGTTTGATAATAGAGCTGTTGTCCGTTGTGACCTCTATAAAAAAATATGTTGCTTAGCTATGGAATACGAATAATGAGATAAGGATGATAAAGCAATAGATGTGGAATATAGTATATAGAGTGTAGACAAAATATTTATCATATTTTTACAAACGTACTATAATAATAGAAAAGAAGATAGACTTATTGAGGATTATCTATGATTAGGAAGATTGAATAAGTAGGTATCGATACAGTTCGTGGTGTAAGTCCAGCCGCAGATTGTGATATTTAGTCACTAACTTGAGTACAATGAAAATATAGGAGATGGCGCTCTGAGAAATATTTTCAGCGTGTCTGTCTGCCGACCTGTACATTACTAAAGAAGTCTGCTCACTAGTGATTTTATCTGCTATAAAAGTGCGACTAAGCCTTTAGAATTTTCGAAGAGACAAAAATATAACAAGCTGGACCAGTTTGAAATGCCTACATTACTATCTAGGTTTTGTTCCTGTTCACTATATTAATACTAAGATTACTAAGAACAAAAGCAATTCCTCAAAAGCGGGGTTATCACGGACATTATCACAAGTAATAGATGTCTTCATAGGAACTAATGCGCAACGTCACTCTTCCGTTGAAAAAGATTACAATCGCCAACGGTTAGGTTTGAAAACGTTGACCTCTGATGACCTATCTAATAAATCGTGGCATTATTATTATGTACAAAATAGATAATAGGTAAATCGTATTCATATGGATGTCTATTACAATAATATAATATATTAGAGGTCTTTGTTTTAGAAAGCAAACTCTAGACAGATTGGTTTCAGTTTGCTATTGATGCTGTTTCAATGATCAGAGATTGATATTATTCATTTGCATAATAGGTATAAACATATTCAACAAGACTCTTAAACACAATGGGCCTAATATCGACGTACTTTTGAACTTAATTAAACAATACTTGTGATTGTATTTTCATGATTGTAAAACACGAGCTGAATTTAAACGCTGTAGAAATATTAGTAAGAGAAGGACGATTAAAGAAAATAGGGAGAGATTGTGAGTGGGAGAATGATATAAAAGAAGATCATAGAAGAATCATATCTACTTAAAGCAAAAAGGTTTCTTATAAAATTGCATCTAAAGGAGAGAATAGAAAATATGTTACACCAACTCCTAAATAACGTTAAACAAGGACATAAGGTAGAAGAAGAAGAATGAGAAGGGGTCATATTGTCTGAATTATAGACAGCTAATAAGACAATAAACGATGGATATGGAAGTTATGAACACAGAGAAGAAACTGGAGAAAATGTGTTACAAGACCTGATTGTGAACAATGACATGACAAACAATAAAAACCTTTATATCAGAGTAAATAAGTATAAAATCGTACGCGTGTAATTTGAGTGACGTGATTCTGTAATGGTTAGACAATGGTAGTCTAATACAAGTTTTAAACAAACAAACCAGAACAATAGCCATAGTTAGGGCTACCTTTTTACTGGTATCCATATTATAAACACTATTGTTTCTTATACAACTTTATGTTTTTAGGAAACTTGAGATATTTTTCTATAATAGGATCGTACAGGATATTATCTTGGATTTCAATTTCCTATGATTTATATTATAAACAAAAGAAACAGGAATGACTTCTACCAATAGTACTTTTAAAAGTTGCTTGGTAGCATGTTAAAGTATTTGTAAAAATTGTCGTTTTATTTTTCATCTACATTTAGAAACACAAGGACCAATGGAATGTTTCTTACCTCAGCGACATTGTTAGAGTTGGCATCATGTGACAGAATTTCAGCATATCCCTTGTCATTCTGCACGAACTTAGCGTTTCCTAGATGAAGTACACTGGCGACGATCTCGAAAATTTCATTCTGTTCTGTCTGGTTAATTTCAATGACTTTCATCGCTTCTTGTACAGTACGGAACTGTTCAGCGTCTTGGTTACGTTGGTTTCCTTGGGCACCCTGGAAATGATTATAAAAATAACTTTTAAACGAAAAGAACTACAAGATTCTACTTTTTGAATATTATAAATATAACATTGTCTATTAGTAATAATTGTGAATAATGTTCAACAGAAATTACTTTTTTGATATAGAATGCCCCAAGGCATTATGTAGGGACCATCACTGTTTTTTGTTTGTGTAAATTAATGAAACTTTAAATAATTGAGCACTCACCGCATCAGTAGTGTATTTGTAAGCTTCCGGCCTTCCTTGCAGCTTTAATTGCCTCAACAAGTCCTGGTCGGCTCCAGCCAGTAGCTGATAGAAGATGTGGAAATTCCTCTCTCCAGACATTTGGCTGACTACCCTGGATTTCTCCAGAAGATAGTTAAGGATGTGTCCTCCTTCAGGAGCTCCTTCATAGTTGAACTGGACGTCCATGTACTTTCCAAAACGACTGGAGTTATCATTTCTATGTGTTTTTGCGTTACCGAAGGCTTCAAGAAGGGGGTTCGTTTGAAGAAGTTTGTCCTTCACAGTTTCTACGTTACGAAGGTGATTTGTTCTTGCTGCTATGTACTCTAGGACTTTTTTGGATGCTTCTGTTTTGCCTGAACCAGATTCACCTGTACAGGAAAAGAAATTAAGGTGAATACATTCTAGTACGTACTCGTCATCGTTTTTAGCAGTAAACGATTTAAATTAATGATAAAAATAAGTATTTAGGTATATGATAATATAAGTAAGTGTTGTGAAGCACGTTATTTGATTGTTTAATCGTAATATTACTATCTCAGATAAGTAAGGTAAAGAAATAAGTATATTACCTGAGATCAAAATGCATTGTTCTCTGTGTTCGTATACCAAGGACCTATAAGCGTTGTCTGCAATTGCGAATCTGTAAAAAAACAATTATTTAGTTAAGTTACTTTAAGGGCTAATCTGAACTCGATTACAAGATGTATCTAAGCCAATTTAGAAATATTATTTTGCCGTTTTGCTCAAAATTTTCCGTATAGATCGCGGTGTTTACCTCTTCTTCGTAAGCCCTTTATTTCTACAAGTACGTGGATCGAGTGTATTTCAACATCCAATAACCATTAGGTATAGTTATCAAACAGATAAGTTGTTGCTATCAGTTCAATAATAAATAGTATCTATGTAAGTGTTTATGACAATAATATTTTGTCACTAAGTATTTTTATATTGTTATTATAACTTTATTGTTCACGTATTCCTTTAGAATTATCTCGATATTCGATGGCAGTAAATGTTGATTTGTGTTTTTAAACGTTCATATTGTAACATTTATTTTGAACGATTGCCAAACATTACGGCATTTGAAAATCTGAAACGTGACAAACTTACTTTTTTATGAATTCTAAACTTCGGACTTGAGACGTCATCATATTGTTGCGTCAAGAAGTATAATAATTCAATAAAAATAACTTTTAAAATCAAATCAAATTTTTGAATATTTTATTGTTTTGAAAAGTTGATATAATTTATTATTTACTGAAGAAAACCCCCAAATTTACCCTATTTGTTTGTCCTCCAGTTAAAAAAAATATTTACAAAACCTAAATTTCGTTATTTGCACGTGCTTTGGGGGTTTGATCATTGTGGTTTGGAGATATTGGGATAATTGGGCCTCTGGTAACGTGAACTATACAGCGAAACACAACATTATGGTCAACATTCTGGTTTTTTATGAGGCCATCGTATCTTTCACTTCATCATCACTTTGGTCAAGGTCTGGTCCATTTGAGCCAAAGTTTGTTCTCCCCACAGGCTCTCCCATACTTGAATAGCTCTCTCATGGCGCTCATACCTAAACCCACCTACAAATTCCATTGACACTTCACAATACTTACCCGTCATATTTTATCATCTACCTACGCAGTTTTATACTCAACGGTTGTCTGTTTACAGATAATAAATGGAGATAAAAATAACTATACTTTCTCATTGTACACACTACATTCCCACACATCAAATGTCAAAGATAATATCGATTTATCCGTTTATATCTACCACAAGTGGCTTCACACACATTGCGTTATGCGTCATTGAGTCCAATCCATTTTTGGGTGTTTTGGCATTTATATACTTTTCTGAATTTAAAAATAAATTTGTTTAGACTTTTAAGTGTGCAATTAATGTATCCTTTGTTAACCATTTTTTGCGTAGATATTGTTATAATGACCACGAGAAGTCTCGGATGTCTGAATTTATTTCGGTCAAAAACATTTCGTCTTTAAAAATGTTTTTGGTAAGCTGACATAATCTTTTTCAGTGTGATCAGTAATTGCCTAATATAACGAATTGTTATGTGTGTAGTTTTGCAATTGTTTTTTATGTTTTTGTTAGCATACCCAACTCTACGATTGAATAAAACTTCATATTATTTAACCCACGTTGTTCGATGCCATTGTCGATTAATAAATTCATATTATCGTTTCAAAAAGATATAGTATCACATAATAATATGTATTATCTTTTGACAATGTTCACGTAGTCTAGACTAAATGAGATATTATCAAAACCTAATTCTTTATACAGAACGTGGGATAAACCCATAGTTTCCCACGATTTTCATGATATACATGAGGAACTTAGTCCTAGTTTGGTTCTGGTTCCTATGAAGTTCACAGTAACTAATCGGCGCTGCCCATGAACACCCACAACACCAGAGAAGTTACAAGAGCGTTCCTGGCTTTTTAGGGATTAGGGTTTCGGACTTTTAGGGATTGGTGACGGATATGGGAGTGGAAGGATTGGGCTTCCGGTTACCTCACTCACATTGCGAAACACAATGGTGGGGTTGTGTTTACTTATTCTTAATTAAGGGCTCGGTATGTTTTAAAACTTCGGTTAATAAGCAATCGAGGTATGAACAATGTCTTTATTATCACTATACGCCAAGTTATGAACCAAGTAGGGATTAACTCTGCTATGTTCAGCATTTGATGACGTTTTCTTCACATTGTGTCTTTACCTACGTATTTTCTCATTTAAGATCGATGTTATGACCTAACTCATTTGAAATTTGTAAATTACTTACACGTGTGGTGGTGCCTCAAAGAAGGCCTTTTTGTAGTATAGTTTAGTCTTCTCCTCCGTGTAGATTGGCAGGTTCTTGTACGGGTTCACGGATATAAGCACGTTGCCGATGTACGTCTGTCGAGGAAATTATATATCATTGTTATTTGTTGCTTGTATTTTGGAATAAACTGTATTTAAGGTTATTTTGAAAAGTTTCGTTTACTCCTTCAGACGTACTAATTGACTTCTGTTTTATATTATATCAGGAACATACTGATTATAACAATCACCAAATTCTGGAAGGTTCAAGATCTGGATCTGGTTTCCAATCTATGGCAATGCGTTCTAACAAGCAAGACTCATATCAAAACTGGTTGAAAGTGGATGTTGATACGTTTTACGTTCCCTCTGCTGCGCAGTGGTTTTAAACACATTAATGTTTGATGAACTACACGATTAATAACATAGTACACATGAATAAATATAAAAACTTACATAGATAATATTCTCATTGAATCGCTTCCTGAGGTTGTCAATGAAGGCGGCTTCAGATCGGAAGTCCTCGAGCAGCACGAAGTCTTGCACTCCGACGCGCTCTCGGTGCACAAGAGCGTGCTCCATCATGCCTGTTACAGACACCGGCCGCAAGAGCCTGCAGACAAAAACAAAACATTGATTAGATGTGTATAAACAAAGGAAGATGGGATAGGATACAAAAGACGGTCCAAAATAGTACGCAGATGCCCGCTGGACGAGGAACGCTTCTAAATGGTGAATCTAGAAGTTATTGAGACAGGCCTATGATCGCACTGGACTTCATGAGTCTAATTATCAAATGCGTTGAAAATGATAATATGACTTTAATTCATCAAACCCGAAGCAAACGTTCGCGCCCAATTGTGTCTCAATTTGCCACAATTAAAAGAGACGGACTTTTGAGTTTGTTTTAGCATTTCTTCTCAGAGTAGTCAGATAGTAAATGCTTCATCTAGTTTTTTATATATAACGTTGACGCGTTTTATGGCTCATTTGCAAAAATAAATTAATATTTTCATTGATGTTAGTGTACATATTTCTGTCCCATTCATAAGTACACTTTGTTAACAAAAATATGTAGAACAGATAAATTAAGTTCATGGACGGACGGCAGAAGTTTAGGAACTATAGCTAAGTTGGAAGCGGTAGTGTTTTGGCATTTTTCCAAGTCCTTGCCCTAAATACCCTCGTTTCTTGCCAAAATTCGTCATCTTTTATGTCAGCAGAAGGCCCATAGATTCTAATTTACATGTAAGTGTTAAATTATGCGGATGGAAAATATCGTTAGCACTTTTTATTGCTAAGAATCCTGAGTTTTTTAACTGACTGACTACTACTTTTCCTAAGAACACATTGAGTTATCATTTCATCTCTATCTTATTGATATCAGATGATGTAATTTTTGAAACGCGTTTATGAAAAGAAATCTAGAAATGTCGGGACATATTTGTAGACGAAATTACTCACCATCCTTTAGACAATTTAGCACTAATAAAAACAATATAACAAAAATCACTGAAATCACATTTTGCACCTAATTTCGCGGATTCGATCCAAGCGTAGTGAAAGTCAGTGTAACTCATCTTGGAGGACGTTGTACTGACTTCTGACTCCATGAGTAAGGATGGCCAAAGGATAGATAATTAGCTTGTTTATCATCATTAGGGAACATGGGAACTGTAAATACTTATGCGTTTGTGTGATAACTTTATTAAATATTGTAAAACCTTTTGTTAACTTAATGAGAGTTCATTAATAAGATTATAATTATAAAACGTTTGTACATTATTTAATTACTTTATTTATAAGCACTCAATTATTACATTGAATTTACTTGTTTTTTGTGTTTGGTATGCTTTAAATGATTTTTAGTTTCATAATTATTATTTTTTTCTCAGAAAGTGGATTATGTATGCGATTCTTCATGACGTATATGATATTTTTAAACCTTACCAATTTTTAAATAGAACGTTACGAATTAAGCTTTCTATGAGTATCTAGAGGTATTAGCTAATTTGCCCCATACACATATATTATGGTATTCTATGGCCGACGTTCGATGACCATTGAGGCTCAAAATATTGATTATGATTAGTTGCGAATAGTGCGATGATTTGACCAACTTTTTGGAAGAAAATTCATACAACTTATATAAAAAATTAATCTTAATCTGAAGATTAACAGCTGAATTGAGTTCGGTCAGACATACCTAAATCAGTAGAATAATAATCAATTAGAAAGTTAGTTAGTACTACTTACTTAGTATTTTTTCTAAGTTATTGTTGGCCGCTTATGGCAATTAGTTATTTATTTATCTTTATAAATTTTAACACCAAACAAAGCGTATATTGTGTGATATAATGCATGTTCTCCCGCTTAAAGTAATCCAAAAGAGTTAGGGCGTCGCTATAAAATTTTTACGTAAGACCAAAGTGTCGTATTGCAGTATTTCTGCGGCCCAATTAGTTGAAACCGTGATATTTACTGGAATGTCAACTTTCTTGACATTATACTAAAATATCATGACATTAGGAGTCGGGACGATTCCCGCTAATACGAGACGATTACTCATTCAAATGAGTGTAGGTAGTAGATAGTATAAGAATGATCAGGTTTACATGGAATTTAAGTACTACACAGTAATTTGTCAGTATTTGTTAGTTATACAGTGGTGCCTTTAGTCTTTCATAGACTTATATTTTTATTTGTGGTTTAGACTTTGGGTTTTTATTGTAAAACTTTTGGTGACATTTACTTTAAGGTTGGATTGCTATAAACCCAGTTCATAAATTGAACATTTTTGCTTAGTTTGCTAAATTAGCATAATGGTAAACTATTAGGATTATTATGAGGAATCTACTTAATCAGGTATCCTTAATTGCTATTATGTTTTCATTTACCTATTCCTTTGTTGGTAATGGCACCACAAGCTTATCTAGTATTATGTCTTTAGCATTTAAAGGTAAATTAATTAAATTGTAAAACATCGGTACTTTCCCTTTGAATGGAAGCGATTTACCAACAAATAAATATTGGAAATTAGGCTACTATCATCGATACACAAAATTATCGACTTGGATAATCAAATAACGCAAGTGAAGGAATGATAGGACACGATTATGATTAGAGGGCGATTGACGTCATCTGTATAATTATTGCATATTGCAAGCATTAAGTCATCCCTTATAGATAAGCTAGCGTGGTTCTATGACCTAGTAATTCAATTTTTGTCTTTGTGATAAATAGGGTACATTATTATAGGCCTGTCCTACTGAGCTGTGTTAAGTGTAAATATACCACCATTTTCATCTATAAAATATTTTTAATTTTTAACACGCATATTTAGTTTCTGTATGCGCGCTAAAATCTTGAGCCGCTATTAAAGATTTTCGTCTTAAAATAACTGTTAATTACAAACGTAGATACCTGTGGTAGATACCTACCTAATCTTTTACGCTGGTACTAAATGACAAATCTAAACTAAGGGTCACCATCACCATCTTTTCATAAATCATGCATGGCTGGAAGTCGGTGTCAAAGTCTGATCACAACCTGAAGGAATAAATATAATCGTGCTTTGCTATCCAAAATTCTTCCGTCTTACAAAGAAAATAAACTAAGTAAAATTCGATACAGTCGACTCAAGCCTCCACTCCTGAAAAACCGTCATGCCATTTCCACAAATCCGCAATTAATTAATAAAAAACGATGTCGCGTGTGGTCGGGCTGGAGGCAGGCGGTGAGGTGGCGAGGTGGCGAGCTCGCCCCATTTCATTACCGCTTGCTTATTGTTTTAGTTTCATACATTTGACTAGGTCAAGTTGGTAGGAAAACACGTTTGATTGTTAAACCGAAAAATGGATCGAATAGGGTTGGATACGTTATTATAATTTTTATTTTTTGATGCTATATAATATTTAATATATTTAGATATATAATATATTTTATAATATATAATATATAATATATTTAGATATTAGTGACCCGTCCCGGCTTCGCACCGTTGAAATGCTATGCTGCTATGCTATGCTAAATGTATGTTATTATACATATAACAATGCCTCTCCAATCACTTTATCTTTTAAAAAATCCTCATCCAAATCCGTCGCGTGGTTTGAAAGATATAAGCATAGGGATATAGGGACAGAGAAAGCGACTTTGTTTTGTAATATGGACCCCTTCTAATGTATCTACATATACAATGATAATTTAATTGATGGCTGGATATCGGGATCAAAATTACGTTTATGAGTTTTTTGTTAGCCAAAAAACAGCCAACAAACAATATTAGCTCGATTTCCGATATTTAACATAATGGCTACGAATATGAAATTTTGCAATGAACCACTCATGCGCCTAGATTTCTCGTTGTATAAGTTTCGTATATAATATACAAGAAACGAAAATGAATAATCAGTCTGACATAAAAACATTGACAAGATAAATTTTCGCTTCATCCAACCTGTAATCGGAAATCGCCAAATATATAAAATTGGTTTAAAACTTAAAGAAATCGTGACCAGACTGAATAGCCGACAATGTATTCCATTAAACTAGTCGTTCAATTCGGAAACGTGTCCAATTACGTTCATTACGAATTCTCTTCACATTTTTGTGTTCCGCACAAGGTATCCTTACAATAAAAACTAACTACAAACAATTTTCTAGCTTATACTTTTCATTTTAAAGTTTAAAACACTATGGCAGACTTGTTTCTTCGTTTAGCTCAAAGCTGGGTACTATTTTGGTAAGGCAAGTCCGAAAAACGTTCCCGGAGTCAATCACCTTCTGGTTACAATCGCTAAATAAAGACCTGTAATTTATAAATACAGGTTCCCAATGGAAGTTGAATGTTTGTTTGTAGAGGATGTCTGGAAGCTGTGCTCTGTTTGATGCACTTACGAATGTTACGGAATGAAGTGCGTGTGAATGAGTTTAAGTGGTGGGTTCGTGTAGGTATTAATTTGTAATGTATGGTGGTGATAGCGTGTTTAGCGATAGTACGTTTAATTTAAAGTAAAACATGTGTGCAATTAGATATAAAATTAATATAAAAGCTTTCATATCAGTATATTCTTACCTAAAACAGAAATTAGAATCCCAATTTATGCAGGTACACAGGATCGCTATGATCAATGATAATGCTCTGGCCTGACTTATGAAATAAACTCTATTAAATTAGTCTCTAGTCTATCGTCATCAAGTACCTTAGTTAACTCCAAATTACTAGCAACCGCATTAATACAATTAATTATATATGTATACTAGCTACCTTCCGCCCGCGGCTTCGTAAAAGTAGTAAAACTAGCCTATGTCTTATTCCGGAATGTATCCTATGTATGTGCCAAATTTCATTCAGTTCCGTCCAGACGGTTTAGCGTAGTTGAGTAACAAACATCCAAACATCGTAACTTTCGCATTTATATCTAATATTAGTAAGATTAACACGATATGCAAAGTTTTACAAACATAAAAAATACATACTAGATAAAATAGATACATTGTCTTCAAGGCCCGACATTTCGATATGAAAGCGCAATAACTCAATCCGTTATTCACGCCAAATTTAGAGCTCATTTGAATCCATCACAGTTGATGAATGCGTTTCGACTACTA